ATCCCATAGCCCGTGAGTGCTAGGGTGGAGTTTGAGCCAGGTAGTCCCTCTCCAGAGCATGCAGCGAAATCCCCGCTACCCTGCTCCACTGCTGCCATGCTGTCCTTCTCTCCCGTTCTCCAGCTTCCTGAGCAAACTGCAGCACCTGCCGGACTCAGCCCCCACATTTCTCAAAGTGCATTTTATGCAAGGGAACTGTAAAATGTGACTTACATTAAATGGAATGCCCGTAAAAAAGGAGCTTTGTGGATGACAGTAGGCCTTCAAGAGGAGGAACTCACATTCCTGTAAAATGTGAAGAGGGCTTGAAAGTGAAATGCAGCTTGGAAACAGTGAAGCCAGGTGAATGTCTAGACATGCACACGGACGGGGCAGCCAAGCCCAGTCAGCATTACAACCGTGCTTACCAAGGCTCACGGGGTGTGTGGGATTTTGTTCAGACTCTGTGTTTGGGCATTAAATCGTCATCTTCTAACGGGAGACATTGAAGCCTCCCTTTGGTGCATTGCCCTGACCCTGTGCCTGTTTGTGCTTCTCATGTGAGAAGGGAAAAGCATATGCTTGGGGTTGGCATCTAACTTACCAGCTGGTCCTGAGGCTGCATCTGCCTCTCCAGGATCTTAGATACATGATGACACTGTTGGCTTCCTGAAGACCTCTTCATCCTGCAGAAGGTGCAACTCCACAGTGTCCTGAGAGGTTGGACATAAGGTGAACAGAGGGCAAGGCCCCTGGAAATGGCCACCGTTCCTGTGGCTGCCACTGTCTTCCCTCAGGAAGGATGGGCTCAGCCATGAGGGTGGGATACCTCCCAGAGTGTCCAAGATCCCCGCGTGGGGTCTCCAGCATTGACCCTTCCCTTGCATCAGTGGTGGCGGCAGGTGGGCAGCCTGAGGAAGGTGGTGTCACTGTCAGCGTGGGCTCTTTTCGCTGTCTGAGCTGCTGGGAGCACAAAGGAACCCAGGCTGCCAGGCTTGAGTGTCAGAATCCGGACTTTCACCTGCAGGGACCTCAGGCCTCCATCAGCCTGATGAGACCATGGTGAAATGTGTGACAAGCCGTGCTTCCTGTCTTTCCTGAGCAGGCACAGAACATAATCTGGCTTTTCCCGTCCCCAACTCCCCTTGGACAGGAGTCCCTGCTGTCCAAGGAATAACATCCTAGGAAAGGGCACCTCCAGGGGCAGAAGCAGTGTGGGGCCAAGAGGCTCGCTGGCAGCCTCAGAGACCCAGAGAGGCCCAGAGTCTCTGGCACCAGACTGCTCTGCATCACACCCTTGTCCGCAATGCTCACAGGTGCTGCCCTTTCCATCCAGAGGTGAGTGCTGTGTGCCCGAGGCGGGGCTGCATCCCACTCACCTCTTGGCTTCCACAGGGGGGATGTGACAGTCTTCATGGAAGACTCGTGGACAAGTACCGCAGCAGAGAAGTTATCCCCCTTTACGGCACACCTCGCGTTCATCCAAGTTTTTCCACTGCAAGGGCAGATAATGTGGGCACCGCTAGGACCACGGCACCGCTAGGACCAGCTGCCACTACCACTGATGACCCAGGAATGCTGACCCTGTGGGGTTCTAGAACACATCATTTTGTGTGTGCCACAGTGGATATCCAAACCTAATTTCTGGTGGGGGGAGCTGATGCCACCTCCCTGGGGGAAACTGCAAGACAAATGGCACAACACGCAGGGAGTCTGGGTGGTGACCACCACCACTAGGGCTTTTCTTCTCTGGCTGTGGCTTGCTAACGGGCTCTGCCGTGTTTTGAGCTGTGCTGCCGCCTGCTGGCAAGCTTGTGCTTTGAGCTGGGCCACTCTGGGCTGCATTTGCTGAGCCCCACCAAGCCTCTGTTAATAGATCTAACTGACCAAAGTAAGAAATGATGATAACTGGCATTTAGGTGCAGGAGTATGGGAACTGTTTTTCCTGGTGCCTTGCCTAACTGCCTAGGGTTGTAACATAACATGGCCCTGAAATGTTCCATAGTGGGCATGGATGCTGTGACCCAGTAAATAACAAATTAAAATAATCAAAATTAAGTTATCTTTGGCACTTACAATTGGCTTTACAACATGGAACTCCATGGACCTTCTCTGTTAAAATATTTAATACCGATCAATATGAATTAAAACACGGCTTTCAAGGACGGAAACTCATTATGGAAGATCTATTTAGAGAAGGGATGATTATCCCCACGGTTTCTCCATTTCACAGCCCAGTTTGGTCTGTTCTTAAGCTTGGAAAGAATGAATGATGCCTCACGGTGAATTACTACAACCTGAATGCTGTGACCCCATCTGTGAAGGCCCAATGTTATTGAAATTACTGACTCCATCCACTTAGCAAGTGGTAAACACTCTGCAGGCATAGATTTGACTAATGTGTTCTGTTCAGTGCATATTTCAACAGCATCTCAGCTGCAGGTTGCTTTCAGCCCCGAAGGGACACAACAGACCATTATCTGGCTACCACGGGGTACCTCGACAGTTCTGTCACCGTACACAATCTGCAAGCAGGATTTGAACTGCATCTGACCTTCTCTAGGAGCACAGGTGTAACATCACCCTGAAGACACCCTTCTCTCAGCACATTCACGTGACACACTCAGGACATTACTCACAAGGAGCTCACAGAAAAGGATGGAGTTTGTGTTTCTGCATGGATGTGGGATTCAACTAAAACAAGAAAGTATGGGCCACTGCCCCAGGCATAGTACAGGGATCCACCACCAATTTCTGGCCATTATCTGGTCAGTCGAGGGATGCTCCATCCCTGACACTGTCAAAAAATAATTATTGACCCTCTAAGTACCCACAGTGTTCTAATAAGCCTCCCAGCATCCTTTAGTCCTCTCGAGTTCCGTGGGAAACACATCCCTCATTTATAGATTTTAGGTAAGCCCATTTATGCTGTTACTTGCAAACAGACCCACTTTCAATGGGGTTCCTTCTAACAAAAGATTCTAGAATCTGTCAAACTGCAATACAGCAGGCATTAGTGCCCTCCTGAGTCTCATTCACTGTGGAGGCTTTGGCAACCTCCTCTCACGCCTGCTGGCATCTCTGGACCACCCATGATGGCCATGGACTTTTGGTACAAAAAATCATAAAACCCCAAAAGCTGTTTTCCTCAGCCCCACACTATATGCTGATAGAGTGGCAACTGCTGGCTGCATCCAGGCCCTTCTGGAGATGGAGGCTGTCACACGCCAAGCCTGTGGCTCTTTACGTCAGCTGCCCATCATGTGTGGGTCATGGAGGCAGCACCCTGCAGGGCAACCACAGAACACATTTTGGGAGTACCAGCATCGGTCTCTTTGTTGTACACATACATAAGTGAGACTGCAGTGGAGACGGATGGATGTGCAGCAGTGACATTGGATGGTGGGGCTGTGGGCAAGGCCCTCACTGGCCCATTCTCAGTCAGATAAACGTTCATCTTATTCTCCCGACCTGGCCCTGGAAGGTGGGACTGAGAGGCTGGGTCAAACATGCCCCTGGCTATTATGTGCTGACATGTGGCATTAGGAGAGTTAGAGGGTATTATCATGTTGGGATATTAATTAATGGTCTGGATTTTAAAGATCCTTTTTTTTCTGGTTGCAAAAGTAACAAATGGTCATTATAGTAATTCCAACTGTATATAAATGTATAATACAGAAAGCAAATGCCCCTGTGATCTCATCTCAAAATAAGTGCAGTTGAGTCTTTCGGCTATTTTTTCACTCGTAGACCTACCTACACAGTCACATAAGCAACAAATGGGCTCCTTCCCCACACGTCACAACTAGCATTAAGTGTCCTGAGCTCTCCTGACTGCAGAACCCTCTGGTGGCTTTCCATTGATTGAATGATAACTCCATACTTATGAATCCACGTATTTAAACAAATATCTATATCAAAGGTCTAATATTCTATAAGAAAAGTTTTTAAAAAACCATTCTGTAACTGTATCACTTTATTCTGCAATACTGATAGAACTTGTGTTTGGCTCTAATTTTTTGCTATTATGATGTTACACTGAGCACCCCTGATTCTCAGGGTATTTAAGATCAGCATGGGATAATAAATGGCATTGGGAGACCAGTGCCTTAAACTTTGAATGAATCCAGCCTGGTCAGGTCAGCCTCCAGGGCAACATGGGGGAGGCACCATTGTCTCTGCTGGAAGTTCACAACTAATGGGAAGCTCGTGACTGGAACTGATGTCTGGAGAACACATCTAAGCAAGCAGAAGAGGTTGAGGAGGGGAGTTAGTGCAGCCAATAGATGACTGCCATTTCCAGCTATAGGGAGGCCCTGTAGAGACAAAGCTCAGTTCAAAGGCGTCATTCCATCCCGGTGCTGCCAATAAGAAGCACGGAGCACTCAGCAATACTTGGTGTGCAATCATGGATGATCTTCTTGTCCTTTCATATACTGTTCCTGTCTATTTCAAGGCCTTTTTTTGCTTTTCATGCTGGAGCAATTTTTTTTTTTTTTTTGAGACAGTGTCTTGCTCTGTTGCCCCAGCTGGAGTGCAGTGGCATGACCTCGCCTCACTGCAACCTCTGCCTCCAGAGCTCAAGTGATTCTCCCACCTCAGCCTCCTGAGTAGCTGGAACTACAGGTGCATGCCACCATGCCTGGCTAATTTTTGTATGTTTTGTAAAGAAGGGGTTTTGCCCTGTTTCCCAGGCTGGTCTCAAACTCCTGGGCTCAAGGGATCCACCCACCTTGGTCTCCCCAAGTGCTGGGATTACATCGCTCTGTATAGCAATACAGAGTCTCACTATATCACTCAGGCTGGCCTTGAACTCCTGGGCTCAAGCAATCCTCCCACCACAGCCTCCTGAGTAGCTGGGACTACAGGTGCACACCACCATTCCTGGCTGATTAAAAAAAAATGTGTTAGAGATGGGATCTTGCTATGTTATCTAGGCTTAGAGTATTTTATTTCTGACACCTTTGGTTTATAGCCATCCAAATATCCAGATCTTTTTTCTAAAACACATGGACATGATGAGCTTTTTCATTTAATTTTTATTTTAGAGTCATTTGCTTCCCCATCCCAAATTAACTACGAAAATTGTTTTGAAGATGCCATGCCCAAATGTGGAGGTGACTCAGAGCTGGGAAACTCAGAAGCTCTAAGGTGAGCCTCCAGACAGGGAAAGTCTGCAACATGGTGACTGAGAGGGTAGTAGAAATTCACTTGCTATTTAACTCTCTCTTGAGATTTATTCTTGGAGGACAGAGCAAAAGTCCATTCTGAAAGACAGAAGGAGTCAATGAATGAGGTTATTCTGGAGGTTTTTCTTCTGCAGATACCGGCCTTCCCACTTCCTATGAGTATCTGTACCCAGACACCACACTGGATCTCAAACCCAAGGCGTCAAAAAGAAAAATTAGCTCCCTCCCCCAGTCAGTTTTTCTTCTGGACCTCACTTAGTGATAAAATCACTTTTTCCCCTGTCACTCAAACCCATGACCCAAGTTCTTCTTTCTTACTCTTTCCCATCCATTCCTTCCTTCTTCCATTTTTCCTCTCTAGATAAAATCTTTATGATTTCATCCTAGTGATAATTTCTTGAGTGTTACTGAGAGGGGCCTTGTGTTGGGTCCTGGGATCACAGAGACTAGTTCTCAGGACAGGAATAGCCTGCTGTGGACGCGCAGCAGAGAGATGGACCATGGACTGGGCAGTCTGGAAATGCTGCAGGGGGCCAGATGAGCTGGCCTTGAATAGGTGTCAGGTAGAGGATGCAGAGGAGCGATCGCAGGCATCTGTTCAGCTAGTTTCTTTTGAGCGTCTTACATCTCTCTTGACCTCAAAGCCCTCTGCCTGCATTTAAAGTTCCTGCACTCCTTTACTTGCATTTAAAGTTCTCCACCATCAGGAACAATCTGTGCTCCTAACTTTGTCACCCACAATTTTTTTTCTGTGAACATTTAACTCCTTTTAAATCATGCTCTTGAATCCTAACGGGAGCTCTTCACATTTCTGCTGTCAAAACCCCACTTCTCCTTCAAGGATTTAAACCCGTCACCTATCTGTCGCTTGTCATTATAATACTTTCCGCAGCTCTGCTAGGGTCGTTCCTCCGCAACGTATACTCCGATTCCAGTTCTTTGTGTTTCCTCCTTTTCCTTCCATTTCAAATTCTTTTAGTGTGAACCAAGTTCCATCCTCATTCTGAATGCACTTTACTGAGGATCCTGTAAGAAAAAGAAAGCCCATTCTTGGATCTACCACCATTCTCTGTGAGTTCACCCTAAACCTCTTCATCCTAATCGTGGCCTTCTACCTTTCCAGGTCAAGAGAGATTTCCTCTGTGAGGCGGAAGCAGTAGCAGGGGAGTCTGAAGGCCTCCCCTCTTGGACTGAAGCCAGCCCTAAAGCCTGACTGAGTGGTGAGGGGGTGGGACAGATTTTGCCTTCATGTGGTGCCTACATGCAGCAAGGACATGGCTGTCAGTACAGCAGGGCCCATGGGTGACTTCCAGGTGGGAGTGGAGTGATCTGGTTGCCAAAAATACCATGACGTGGAAGAGTTTGGAAATTCCTTCCTAAGAAGTGTCTCTTCTTCTGCAGCCTAGGGTCCATTTCCTGATCAATTATACACCCAGGTATTTTCCTCCCTTCTAGTGAGTCCTTCATCTAGAGATTCCAAAGAGCAGAAGACCAAGGAACTCACCGTGTTTCATTTTCTTCTTATATAAAATCCCTTTCGCCTCACCACAGGTCACGGGGAGCTTAGAACAGTGAAAATCCACAGGGTCACTTTTGGGTTTTCCTGAAAGTAGAAGAGAACAGTTTCATGTTATTCAGTCTTCATTCCATCTTCCTTTTGAATTCTCCCCTCCATGAATTCCAATAATGTACAGGGTACTGGGGAACATTCTCTGGTTAGTTTGCAGGAACTCTTTCGTCTCGAGTGGCAAATAAGCTATGTGTACACAGCAGCCTGCAACAAACCACCACCACCGCCACCAACACTACAGCCAACAAAACATGTTAGTAGAACATATAGGGCTTCTTCAGTGAATGTGTCTTAATTTGCAAGTGAATTGGCTGCCACCGAATAGTCTTCTATTCTATAAGCATCCTGCTGATCTCTCTGTGCTGATGGAAGTTGCCTACCTAAAATATTTCTTTGCATTCATGTTGCCAGAGGGAAAAAAATCTTCATTTATAATCTTATTTCCTGATTCAAATGAAGACTTGGGTGAGTGAGGTGGCTGGCACTGAGGGGATGGTGTCAGTCTTAATTATTTGCTGTTTCTTTTCATTTTATTGCTTCCCTGCTTCTTCCTTGATGAATAAAAGAAAACCCTGGAGAGCTCTGAACTAATTTCCCAGTTTCTCACGGAGCGGTCTGGCAACTCAGAATCCCTGGGTAGAAATCTGGAGTTTAGATTCAGGAGAAGCAGTTGCAAGAGGGTTTAAAATAAATCTCAGCAATTCCTGCTGCCTTCCCCTCCAACCTCACTATGGGTGAATTTATTAAAGAAAGACAGCAGGGGCTGTTTCTCTGGGGAGAAATGAAGGGGCTGTCCATGTCTTATGTTGAGTTACAGAGGATATTACGCCTAAAATGAGCCTAGGAGAACATCTGGTCCAACTCTCTCCCTTGCCTCAAACGGTTATTGAAAGAGCTAAAGGAAAACAAATGGCAAAACAAGAGCATTGATGGAAAGAGGAAGGAACAGCATCAGTGGTGAAGAAGCCATTCATTTCTCTGGAAAGATACAAGGCAGGTAGAGTCAGACTGAGAAAGGAGGGACACTGAGAAGTGAGGATGTAATCCCCCCGACAGAACCCTACAGGATGCCTGGCCTCACAGGAGCAGAGGCTGGCAGCAAGGCTAGGCATGGGGGTGGAAGGTAGGGGGTGTGTGGGAACTTAGGGTGGGAAAAACTTTGTTTCAACAGCAGCCCTCTTGCATGGAGGGGCCAGCTCCACCATTTGTCTCTAGAATCTACTCAGTAAATATGGCACAGCAGATGAGAGCGTGTCCTTGGGAGCCAGACTAGGGTGCGGGCAGGGGTGGGGGTGGGAGGGGCTTATAATCCTGACTGCCACTTACTAGAAGGATTACCTAAGTGTGAATTACTGTTATCAGATTTGAGTGGGAAACTTGCTGCCGCAGGTTCCTAATGTGGGTGAAAGGCGGAGCTCCAGGTGACTCTGGACCACTGTTGCAAACCTTGAGGGAGATTAGCACAGCTATGGGGACCTTCTACAGTTCTCTGTCTCCAGAGAAATGTCTTCTCTAATTCCCTGTGGTGAATATAGCTTTAGTGAACACAAACGTCCCAAACACATTCACAAGCAGATGAGGGAGCAGGGGGTGGTTTTGGGGGCCACGGGTAGCAAGCGGATGTGCAGAGTCATGGGGACAAGCATCAGTCCCTTCCTTACCCAGTGGAGGCAAGTCATCAAGTGAAGTGGGGCTTTTAGGCCCAAGGACTTCCAAAGCCAGCTGTCCTATGCCTCAGGGCAGCTTTCTGGCCTGTTCCCAATAGTGCTGAGTTTGGCTCAGTCTCACCTACTCATCTCAGCAACCAGGCCTTGAAGGATGAAACCCTGCAGCCCCAGGAACCCTGTGGGGGATGCTTGGGGCTCTCTAACATCAGCTGGTTCCTTTGTAAAGTGAGCTGCAGCAGCGGTGGATTTAGGTGCCCATTAGGAAGTGTGAGCAAACAACGAGGAACCTGCTGTGAAAAGCAAGCAATTAGAGAAGAGAGAGCTCAGGGAAAGGAAAAGCAAGGTGGAGAAAATTAAGAAGAAAAGCTGAATCCAGACGAGAAATAGTGGCATGGCAAAAAACGAATTCATAATCCAGAAGATCAACTCCGGGAATTCCTACAGAACGTGGGGAAGAAGCACAAGGTGGAAATTATGCATGGAAAGACCACAGTCCTGGGGAATGATTTGGGAGCTCTATGATGTATACACGAGGGGTGTGGGAAGGGGATGGCGGGGGGTGGAGATGGGGTGGTGGGGAGTGGAGATGGGGTGGTAAGGAGAAAAGTGATAGTCAAGGAAATAGTAAGAGCAGCAGATGCACTGTGTCGTCTATCCTCACAACAATGTGTAAGAATGAGAAGGCAACGACTGTCCCCATTTTATAGATGAGGGACTTGGGCTCAGATGTGGAGAGAGAATTGCCAGTGGTCACCACATTACATGAGGTGGAGCTGGCACTGGAATTGAGACAGGCCAGACCCAGTATCTAGCACTCTTTCCACATCATCGGAAATGCCACGAGACTCCACATCATACAAGCGACAGCAGCACAGATACTCTGTGTTTAATGAGAAGTTACGGATAGGGCAGAAGGGAGAAGAAACTGATGCTGAGGGACAACTGTCAACGTTTGCCAGGGCTCCTGCCTCCATCAGTGTTTGAGACGAGGTGGAATCTGGGTTCATGTACATTTTTCGTGTAAAGGAAAAAGGGCTGGAAATTGGAACACACAGGTTGATTTTAGCTCATTCAAGTCTTTTACCCTTTAATTGAATCTGTAAAACGGGCTGATAACACTTACTTATTATGGGAATTAAATGGCAAAATGTGGATCAGAGTGCTTTGCCAACTGTGATGTAAGGTACACATTTATATGTTCATCAGGACCTCTGCATAAAGTTGATGGGTTGTGCCCTGAGCAAGGACTCCATCCTTAAGGGGTGCTCTGATTCATATTAGAAACAGAATCAGTGTACCTGCTTAGTACAACAATCTTCCAGAGGATGGCAGAAAAGGGTTTGGTTTCAAGAATTGGCTGTGACAGATGAGGTAGTGAATTGAGGTAGGGACACCTTTTTCTAACTCACACACATGCATCAGATGGGCCCAGATACTGGTGTTCATAACTTGATGAAGAAGTACCAGCTGTATGAGGCATGGGGAGCCAGACATACAGCAATGGGCAAGACCCATCTGCTTACTGACCTCACGTGACTTTTGCACAGTGAACAGGCTGTGCACAGATCATTCATCACAGTTAAGATAAGTGCCATGAAGACAAAATGCAGGTCTCCACAAGGGCATGTCAGGGAGACCCACCCCCACCTGCTGGGAGAGAGAATGCTTCCCTGTGGAAGTGACATTTAAGGTGAGGTCTGAGGGCAAAGTTCTAATATCCAGAATTTACAAGGAACTTAAACAAATTTACAAGAAAAAAAAAACACCTTTAAAAAGTGGGCAAAGGACATGAACAGATACTTCTCATAAGAAGACATTTATGCAGCTGATAAACATATGAAAAAAAGCTCCACATCACTGAGCATTAGAGAACTGTAAATCAAAACCACAATGAGATACCATCTCATGCCAGTCAGAATGGTGATTATTAAAAAGTTAAGAAACAACAGATGCTGGCAAAGCTGTGAAAAAATAGGAACACTTTTATACTGTTGGTGATAATGTAAATTAGTTCAACCATTGTGAAAGACCTCGTAGCAATTCCTCAAAGACCTAGAACCAGAAATACCATTTGACTCAGCAAGCAATCCCATTACTGGGTATACACCCAAAGGAATATAAATCATTCTATTATAAAGATACATGCATGTGTATGTTCACTGCAGCACTATTCACAATAGCAAAGACATGGGCTCAACCTAAATATCCATCAATTATAGACTGGGTAAAGAATATGTGGTACATATACACCACGGAATATTATGCAGCCATAAAAAGGAACAAGGTCATGTTCTTTGCAGGGGCATGATTAGAGCTTGCAGCCATTATCCTCAGCAAACTAATGCAGGAACAGAAAACTAAACACCGCATGTTCTCACTTATAAGTGGGAGTTAAACAATGAGAACACACGGATACAGGGAGGGGAACAGCACACACTGGGGCCTGTCAGGGGAGCAGGAGGGAGAGCACCAGGATAAATAGCTAATGCATGTTGGGCTTAACACCTATGGGATGGGTTGATAGGTGCAGCAAACCACCATGGCACACATTTACCTATGTAACAAACCTGTACATGTATCCCAGAACTTAAATTTTTTTAAAGAAAAGGTGAGGTCTGAGGGTGTATAGCAAGGAAAGGGAGGAGGATAAGGGGATTAGCTTTGGGGTTGGGGGGCGGTGAGTGGGGAGGCCCATGTGAGGAGGTACTGAGCAGGAATGAAGTAGCAGCATTCAGTATCTGATGACCTATGCTGTGAGGAATCAGGCTGATGTGACCCTAGAGACATGGGTAGGGGTGGTTTATGGGTGTTGGTGACATCCTGTGTCTTGAGTTGCATGCTGGGTATGTGGGTGCTTTTTCTGTGTGTGTGAATCCATCAAGCTGTACTCTTAGGATACATGCATTTTCTGCAAGCACATCCACCAGTGCTACTCAATGCTCCAACCTACGATGGGACAGGAGCTTGATCAGGATCAATGCACTGCTGTTGCCACTGAGGAGTCTAGCTATGAAAACAGTGTGCTTAGCGTCACAGTTGGTTTACAAGCTCCTTATTCTCGTAGACCTGCAACCAACATGCTTGTCGATGACACCAGTCTGGGGTTCTCACCTTGCGTAGCACCTACTATACTTCGATAATGAATAAAAACGGCCAAAGTGGCTGGAGACTAAAAAAGGAAGAGAGGGTGACAAGAAATGACGCTGAAGAAGTGAGGTATAAAAGCAGAAGAAAAATAAATGCAAGAAGAGGAATGGGAGGGAGAGGACAGAGATGCAAAGAGGCCCGAAGGACCGAGAGGCTGAAGCAAGCCCAGGGTCCCAACCAACACAGGAAAAGGAACGAGAACACTGTCAGGCTGTGCTTGAATAAGGGTTTCCTTTAATTCCTAGAATGGAAGACATAGAAGTTTATTTTAGAACTTGACTTAAAGGTTTAGTGATCATCCTTAATCATTTTTGGGTCTTTGTACAGCTCTGTGTTAAAGAATCCTTCCAAGTATGGAAATAGCCACCGTGCACAAGTGGGTGGGTTGTTAGGCTGGCAGCACTCCTGATGCACCCAATTCAGCTGGTACCCATGAGGGTGGAGAACAACTTCGGAGGAGAAGGACAAGGACGGTGGAAGAAGGGAGAGAGGAGGAGACAGCGGGTGGAGCATGCAGCAGAGGCCAGGGCTCTGGGGAACCCAAGGGGGAGGCGCTGTGGCTTGCTTGCTTACTTCTTTTTCTTTTTTTTTTTTTTTTTTTTTGAGACGGAGTCTTGCTCTGTCGCCCAGGCTGGAGTGCAGTGGCCGGATCTTAGCTCACTGCAAGCTCTACCTCCCGGGTTCATGCCATTCTCCTGCCTCAGCCTCCCGAGTAGCTGGGACCACAGGCGCCCGCCACCTCGCCCGGCTAGTTTTTTTGTATTTTTTAGTAGAGACGGGGTTTCACCGTGTTAGCCAGGATGGTCTTGATCTCCTGACCTCATGATCCGCCCGTCTCGGCCTCCCAAAGTGCTGGGATTACAGGCTTGAGCCACCGCGCCCGGCCCTCTGGCTTACTTCTTCAGTGAATATTTTTCTGAAATTTCCTTTTTGAACTTGAACAGATATCTTTTTCCTTTTTTTTTTTTTTTTTTTGAGACGGAGTCTTGCTCTGTCGCCCAGGCTGGAGTGCAGTGGCCGGATCTTAGCTCACTGCAAGCTCCGCCTCCCGGGTTTGCGCCATTCTCCTGCCTCAGCCTCCCGAGTAGCTGGGACCACAGGCGCCCGCCACCTCGCCCGGCTATTATTTTGTATTTTTTTTTAGTAGAGACGGGGTTTCACCGTGTTAGCCAGGATGGTCTTGATCTCCTGACCTCATGATCCACCCGTCTCGGCCTCCCAAAGTGCTGGGATTACAGGCTTGAGCCACCGCGCCCGGCCCCTTTTTCCTTTTTCTTTTCTAAAAACAGAATTAATAATCACTTATAGCTACAAATGTAGATTTATAAGACTCATATGTTAATAATCTTAAAGCATTTTTTCCTGTTTTTCTACCAGTTTGGAGAGACAAGTTACATATGAGTCCTTATGAAAGGACTTCTTTGCAGCATTGACTAAGGAAATACAGCAAGCTCATGTTAAAAGACAGAAAAACTAAAAATAATACAGAAGCCAAATTTCCACTAATCAATATGTATCAATACATTTACTACAAATACTAGAATAAAGGGATGTACAGGAGTCCCCCCCTTATCCACAGGCCATATGTTTCAAGCCCTCCAGTGGATACCTGAAACCATGGGTAGTGGACACCCCTGCAGATACTATGATTCTTCAATCTGATAACCAAGAGAGCTACTAAGTGACTGATGGGTGGGCTGCGTATACAGCAAGACACACTGGACCAAGAGATGATTCACATCCCCGAGTGGGATACAGCAGGATGGTGCAAGACCATCACGCTACTCAGAACAGCACATAATTTTTAACTTATAAATTATTTCTGGAACTTTCCATTTAAGATTTTCAAACTGCAGTTGACTCCAGGTAACTGAAATCATGGAACAAAAAACTGCTTATAAAGGGGGGCTACTGTATGGCCTTATAAATATCACATAGGAAGGGCTTTTTAAGGAGGAAATAATGGGCATAAAGCAGTGGTTAACACTGGCTGATTTTGCTCTCAGGGATATCTGGCAATGTTTGGAAATCTTTTTGTTTGTCAGGACTGGGAAGCAGGTGCTACTGGCATCTAATGGGTAGAGGCCAGAGATGTTGCTAAACATCCGATGACACACAGGACAGCCTCCGAAGCGAAGAATTATTCAGTCCAAAATGTCAGTAATGCCAAGATTGAGAAACTCTGGCATAAACCATACTGCTAAAGGTAAACTGACTTGTCTAGCTAACTAAGCAGATGGCTCCACAACCAAAAGCTTCTTAAGTTCAAAGACAGAAACAAAATCAGAAAAACTGCAATAATTATAACAAAGGGTTAATCTCCCTAACTGATTAATCAAAAAATGGCCAGTCCTATAGAAAAATGGGCAAATTCAAACAGATGACCCTCAAAAGAAAAAATCCCAATGTCAAATTTATTTAAAAAACAGGTAAATTGGTAAAGATAGGCTAGGTAATGCTGTGGTAATTCACGATCCTCCAGATCTCAGTGTTTTATTACAGGTGTCAGCAAACTATGGTCTAAGGGCCAAATTGGCCTACTGCCTGTTTATGTAAATAAAGTTTTATTGGAATATAGCCACACCCATTTCTCTATGTATTTGCCTCTGGCTGCTGTCATGCTACAAAGGCAGAGTCAAGTACGTGCATCTTCTGGTCCTTTTTGGAAAAAAATTGCCAAGCTCTGGTTTACAATGACAAAGGTTTACTTCTCTCTCATGCTGTTTGTTCATCATAAATTAGATGAGGCTCAGCCCTACATCACTGACACTCACGGCTCCTGCAGACAGAGCAGCCTCTGTCTAGAACATTCCTGGTCTTGGGCAGACAGAAAGGAGACAAAGGGGCTTTTAAAGCCTTGGCCTGAAAGTGGCTCTCTAACTTGGGTCCACATTTCTTTGGCTAAGTTATCACATGGGCATTCCTGAGTCCACAGGGCAGGGCTGTGGACTTCTGAGGAGGTGGGGCACTGGAACACGGGAGAACTGTAATATAACCTACCACAGCATGTTCGATCACCTGCCTAGTGCAAAGAAATTCAAAGGGAAACACCAGTGAAATATCACTCTTCACCTTTGGCAGTCATCATAGACACATCTTGTTATTTCTAGTGTTGGAGAAAATGGAGGGAAAAGGTGTCTGTATGATGTTAAAGGGAGTATAAACAGATAATTTAGGCGATTTGACAACAAATATGTCCTAATTTAAAAATGCAGACTTGACCAAGCAACTTCACTTCTAGAAATGAAACATTAAAAAATAATCTTGCAAATGTGTCCACTCTGAGGATTGGTGCCATTTCCAAGACTGGGTTGGCCAGAACCAGAAAGGAGTCTCCCAAACTCAAGAGAGTAGTGGCGACTCTAATAATAGAAATGAAAACAGCAGACACTGGGGAGTGGTCATGTAAATCCACATGGCAAAGCCAAGGTGAACTGCACCCTGAGAACAGTTCTTCCAACAACCACTGTCACATCAACAGATCCATGCTCTGTCTTCATGTCCCTCTTGTCTGTACATCTCCCTCCTTCTACTATCGACTTTACATATCTATCTGACCCTGTACATGCTCCAGGAGACCCTCATACATTGAGCTATTCAAATAACAGATTTCATCATTAGTCTTACCTTTTGATCTGGACTTCTGGGCACATTCAGTTCTTGCCTTTTGGATGCTCATCATGACCTTTGAGTTCCAGGTTGAGTCGTCTATCCTTCCAGTCACCTTATCCACCACTTGGAGCTTCTCTTTGATGCCATGCCCAGGTGAGGTTGCCATTGGACCAAACAGATTTGTGAATAGTTTAGTGAGCTCCCTTCTCATGTTCCCAGCCCCTACCCTTTCAGGAGTTATCTTGTAATTTCTCCATAATTCCCTATTCTCTTGTGTGTATCTTTCTTCTCCCCCAGACTCACAATACTTCCTTCTATTTCTCTTTTTCAAGTCCTCATTTTGTTTAGTAATTATAGGTATATCAGTTAGAATGCAAGTTCCACTAGTGTAGGGATTTGTGTCTGTCTTTCTCACTGCTGAGTTCTCAGGACCTAGGACAGATACCTGGCCCACACCTTATACTCCATCGCTGAATGAATGTTTAATAGGCACTAAATTTTTGAAAATATTAAATGTATGTTTCTTTTTAGTTTGTTTTTATTTCAATAGCTTTTGGGGTACAAGAAGGTTTTTGGTTACATGGATGAATTATATAATGGTGAAGTCTGAGACTTTAGTGCACTCTTCATCTGAGTAGTGTACATTGTACCCAATACATAGTTTTTTATTCCTCTTCTTCCCTCCCCTTTCTGAGTTTCCATAATCCATTATATCACTCTGTATGTTTTTGAGCACTAATATCTTAGCTCCCACTTATAAGTGAGAACATACAGTATTTGGTTTTCCATTCCATTTCCTCACTCAGAATAATGGCCTCCAGCTCCATTTAAGTTGCTGCCAAAGACATTATTTCATTCTTTTTTATGGCTGAGTAGTACACCATGGTGTATATATACTACATATTCTTTACACATTCGTTGGTCAATGGGCACTCAGGTTGGTTCCGTATCTTTACAATTGTGAATTATGTAGCAATAAACATGTGTGCAGGTGTCTTCTTGATATAATGATTTATTTTCCTTTGGGTTGATACCTAGTAGTGGGGTTGCTAGATTGAATGGTAGTTCTACTTTTAGTTCTTTAAGAAATCTCCATACTGTTTTCCATAGAGGTTGTACTAATTTGCACTTCCACCAGCAGTGTATAAACATTCCCTTTTCACCACATCCTTGTCAACATCTTTTTTTTTTTTTTTTTTTTTTTTTTTTTTTTAATAGTGGTCATTCTTGCAGGAGTAAGGTGGTATCTCATTGCGGTTTTAATCTGCATTTCCCTGATGATTAGTGATGCTGAGCATTTTTTCGGATGTTTTTTGGCCATTCGTACATCTTTTGAAATATGTCTATTTATGTCATTTGCCCACTTCTTGATGAGTTTTTTATTTCCTGTAATGTTCGAGTTTCTTGTAGATTCTGGATATTAGTTCTTTGTTGGACGCATAATTTGCAAATATCTTCTCCCATTCTATGTGTTGTCTGTTTACTCTGATGATTATTTCCTTTCCTACAAAGAAGTTTTTCAGTTTAATTTAAGTCCCATTTATTTATTTTTGTTTCTGTTGCATTTGCTTTTGGGGTCTCAGTCATGCATTCTTTGCTTAGGTCAATGTCCAGAAGTTTTTCCTAGGTTTTCTTACAGAATTTTTCTGGTTTCAGGTCTTAGGTTTAAATTTTTGATCCATCTTGAGTTGATTTTTGTGTCAGGTGAGAAACAGGGATCCAGTTTCATTCTTCTACATGTGGCTAGCCAGTTTTCCCAGCACCATTTATTAAATAGGGTGTCATTTCCCCAATTTATGTTTTTGTATGCTTTGTCAAAGATCAGTTGGTTGTATTTGGCTTTATTTCTGAGTTCTCTATTCTATTTCATTGGTCTATGTATCACTTTTATAACAGTATCATGCTGTTTTGGTAACTATATCCTTGTAGTATAATTTTAAATCTGGTAATATGATGCATCCTGATTTGTTCTTTTTTGCTCAGGACTGTTTTGGCTATGCAGGCTCTTTTTTGGTTCCATATGAATTTTAAGATTATTTTTGCTAATTCTGTGAAAAATGATGTTGGTATTTTGATAAGAATTGCATTCAATCTGTAGATTGCCTTGGGCAGTATGATCATTTTCATATTGATTCTTCCAATCCATGAGAATGGGATATGTTTCTATATGTTTGTGTCATCTATGATTTCTTTCAGCAGTGTTTTGAAGTTCTCCATGTAGAGATCTTTCATCTCTTTGGATAAGTATATTCCTAGGTATTTTATTTTATTTTGTTGAAGTTGTTGTAAAAGGGATTGAGTTCTTGATTTGATTTTCAGCTTGGTCGCTGTTGGTGTATAGCAGTGCTAATTTGTGTATATTTGATTTAGTAACCTGAGACTTTACTAAATTCATTTATCAAATCTAGGAGTCTTCTGAAGGAGTCTTTAGAGTTTTCTAGGTATCATATCATTAATGAACAGCGATACTTTGACTTCTTTTCCAATTTGGATGTCATTTCTTTCTTTCTCTTGCCTGATTGTTCTGGCTAGGACTTTAGTACTATGTTGAATAGAAGTGATGAAAGTGGGCATCCTTGTCTTGTTCCAGTTCTCAGGGGGAATGCTTTAGGCTTTTTCCCATTTAGTTTCACATTGACTGTGGGTTTGCCATATATGGCTTTTACAATTTTGAGGTAAGCCCCTTCTATGCCTAGTTTGTTGAGGATCTTTATCTAAAGGGATGCTGGATTTTATCAAATGTTTTTTCTGCATCTATTGAAATGATCTATGGTTCTAAATTCTGTTTTTGTGATGTACCACATTTATTGACTTGCATGTATTAAACCATCCCTAAATCCCTGTGATTAAATCCACTTGATCATTGTGTATTATATTTTTGATGGGCTGTTGGATTCAGTTAGCTAGTATTTTGTTGAGGATTTTTGCAACTATGTTCATCAGGGATACTGGCCTGTTGTTTCTTTATCATGTCCTTTCCTGGTTTTGATATCAGGGTGACACTGACTTCACAGAATGAGTTAGGGGATTCCCTCTTAACCTTCTGGAATAGTTTCAGTAGTATTGGCACCAATTCTTCTTTAAATGTCTGGTAGAATTCAGCTGTGAGTGCATCTGGCTCTGGGCTTTTTGTTGTTGTTGACATTTTAAAAATTACTGATTCAATCTCACTGCTTCTTACTGGTTGTTCATGGTTTCTATTTATTCCTGATTTAATCTAGGAGGGATGTATGTTTCCAGGAATTTATTCATTTCCTTTAGATCTTTCTAGTTTTGTGCAGAGAGGTGTTCATAGTAGTCTTGAATGATCTTTTGTATTTGTCTGATGTCAGTCATAATGTCTCCAGTTTCATTTCTAGTTTGAGTTTATATGAAACTTCTCTCTTCTTTTTTTGGTTATTCTAGCCAATGTTCTATCCATTTTATTTATCTTTTCAAAGAACCAGCTTTTTGTTTCATTGATCTTTTTTATTTTTTGTGTCAACTTTATTTGGTTCTGCTTTCATCTTTCTTTTTTTCTGCTAGCTTTGGGTTTCTCTAGTTCCTTGAGATGTGACATTAGGTTGTCAGTTTGTGATCTTTCAGAATTTTTGATGTAGGCATTTAGTGCTATAAACTTTCCTCTTAAAAGCAGTGCTTTTGCTGTATCCTAGAGGTTTTGTTAATTTATGTCACTGTTACCATTCATTTCAAATAATTTTTAAATTTCCATCTTAATTTCAGTGTTAACCCACGAATCATTCAGGAGCAGGTTATTTAATTTCCATTTATTTGTATGGTTTTGAAAGTTCCTTTTGGAGTTGATTTCTAGTTTTATTTCACTGTGGTCTGAGGAGATACTTGATGTAATTCCAATATTTTTCTTCCAAAAACCACCCCCAAAAACGGGATACATGTGCAAAATGTGCAGGTTTGTTACATAAGTATACATGTGTCATGGTGGTTTGCTACACTTATTGACCCCCTCTAAGTTCCCTCCCCTCACCCCCCACCCCCTAACAGGCCCTGGTGTGTGTTGTTCCCCTCTCTGTGTCCATTTGGTCTCAATGATAAACTCCCACTTATGAGTGTGAACATGTGGTATTTGGTTTTGTGTTCCTGTGTTAGTTTGCTAAGGATGATGGCTTCCAGCTTCACCCATGTACCTGCAAAGGACATGATCTCATTACTTTTCATGGCTGCATAGTATTCTATGGTGTACATGTACCACATTTTCTTTATCCAGTCTATCATTGATGGGCATTTCGGTTGGTTCCATGCCTTTGCTATTGTAAATACTGCTGCAATAAACACACATGCTCATGTGTCTTTATAAAAGAATAATTTATATTCCTTTGGGTATATACCCAGTAATGAGACTGCTGGGTCAAATGGTATATCTGGTTCCAGATCCTTGAGGAATTACCATACTGTCTTCCACAATGATTGAACAAATTCACATTCCCACCAACAGTGTAAAAGCATTCTTATTTCTCCATGGCCTCAACAGCATCTATTGTTTCCTGGTCTCTTAATAATTGCCATTCTGAGTGGCATGAGATGGTATCTCATTGTGGTTTTGATTTGCATTTCTCTGATGATCAGTGATGTTGAGTTTTTTTTCCATATGTTTGTTGGCCATGTAAATGTCTTCTTTTGAGAAGTGTCTGTTCATATCCTTTGCCTACTTTTCGATGGGGTTGTTTTTTTTTCTTGTAAATAGGTTTAAGTTCCTTGTAAATTCTGGATATTAAACCTTTGTCAGATGGGTGAATTGCAAAATTTTTCTCCCATTCTGTAGGTTGCCTATTCACTCTAATGCTAGTTTCTTTTGCTGTGCAGAAGCTCTTTAGTTTAATCAGATCCCATTTGTCAATTTTGGCTTTTCTTACAATTGCTTTTGGTGTTTTTGTCATGAAGACTTTGCCCACACCTATGTCTTGAATGGTATTGCCTTGGTTTTCTTCTAGGATTTTTATGGTTTTGGGTTTTACATTTACATCTTTAATTCATCTTGAGTTAATATAAGGTATGAGGAAGGGGTCCAGTTTCAATTTTCTGCATATGGCTAGCCTGTTTTCCCGGCATTATTTATTAAATGGGGAATCCTTTTGTCATTGCTTGTTTTTGTCAGGTTTGTCGAAGATCAGATGGTCGTAGATGTGTGGTGTTATTTCTGAGGTCTCTGTTCTGCTCCATTGGTCTAAATGTCTGCTTTGGTACCAGTACCATGCTGTTTTGGTTACTTTAGCCTTGTCATATAGTTTGAAGTCAGGTAGTGTGATGCCTCCAGCTTTGTTCTTTTTCCTTAGGATTGTCTTGGCTATATGGAATCTTCTTTGATTCCATATTGAATTTAAAACAGTTTTTTCTAATTCTGTGATGAATGTAGAGACAACATTCCAGAATTTCTGGGACACAGCTAAAGCAGTGTTAAGAGGGAAACTTATAGTACTAAATGCCCACGTCAGAAAGCTAGAAAGATCTCAAATTGACACCCTAACATCACAATTAAAAGAGCTAGAGGCTGGGTGTGGTGGCTTATGCCTGTAATCCCAGCACTTTGGGAGGCCAAGGCAGGTGGATCACCTGAGGTTGGGAGTTCGAGACCCACCTGACCAATATGGAGAAACCCCATCTCTACTAAAAATACAAAATTAGCTGGGTGTGGTGGCGCATGCCTGTAATCCCAGCTACTCAGGAGGCTGAGGCAGGAGAATCTCTTGAACCCAGGAGGTGGAGGTTGCAGTGAGCCGAGATTGTGCCATTGCACTCCAGCCTGGACAACAAGAGTGAAACTCCATTAAAAAATAAAAATAAAAAAAAAAAGAGCTAGAGAGGCAAGAGCAAACTCATCCAAAAGTCAGCAGAAAGCAAGAAATAGCTAAGATCAGAGAAGAATTGAAGGAGATAGAGACATGAAAAACTCCCCTCAAAAAATCAATGAATCCAGGAGCTGGTTTTTTGAAAAAATTAACAAAATAGACCATTAGCCAGATTAATAAAGAAGAAGAGAGAGAAGAATCAAATAGACACAATAAGAATGACAAAGGGGATATAATCACTGGTCCCACAGAAATACAAACTACCATCAGAGAATACTATAAACACCTCTACACAAATAAACTAGAAAATCTAGAAGAAATGGATAAATTTCTGGACTCATACACCCTACCACGACTAGACCAGGAAGAAGTTGAATCCCTGAATAGACCAATAACAGCTCTGAAATTGAGGCATTACTTAATAGCCTACCAACGAAAAAAAGCCCAGGACCGACAGATTCACAGATGAATTTTTTTGTTTCTTATTCTGTAACTAACACAGTTTGTGCCCTGGAGTAGACACATGCATTCAGGCATGCAAGCAAAAATAAAAATAAGAATAAAAATTCTACCAGAAATACAAAGAGGAGCTGGTACCACTCCTTCTGAAACTATTACAAACAATTGAAAAGGAGGGACTCCTCCTTAACTCATTTTATGAAGCCAGCATCATTCTGATACCAAAACTGGGAAGAGACAAAAAAAGAAAATTTCAGGGCAATATCCCTGATGAATATCAATACAAAAGTCCTCAATAAAATACCGGCAAGCCGAATCCAGCAGCACATCAAAAAACTTATCCACCTTGATCAAGTCAGTTTCATCTCTGGGATGCAAGACTGCTTCAGCATATGCAAATCAATAAATGTAATCCATCACACAAAGAGAATCAAAGATAAAAACCACATAATTATCTTGATAGATGCAGAAAAGACCTTTGATAAAATTCAACATCCCTTCATGTTAAAAACCCTCAAAAAACTAGGTATTGATGGAACACATTTCAAAATAATAAGAGCTATTTATGACAAACCCATAGCCATATCATATTGAATGGGTAAGAGCTGGAAGCATTCCCTTTGAAAACCAGTACAAGACAAGGATGCCCTCTCTCACCACTCCTATTCAACATAGTATTAGAAGTTCTGGCCAGGGTAATCAGGCAAGAGAAAGATACAAAGACTATTCAAACAGGAAGAGAGAAAGTCAAGTTGTCTCTGTTTGCAGATGACATGATTATATATTTAGAAAACTCCATCATCTCAGCCCAAAAACTTCTTGAACTGATAAGTAACTTCAGCAAAGTCTCAGGATACAAAAATAAAAGTGTAAGTATCACAAGCATTCCTTTACACCAACAAAAGGCAAGCAGAGTGCCATATCATGATGAACTCCCATTAACAATTACCACAAATAGAATAAAATAGCTAGGAATATAGCTAACAGAGGATATGAAGGACCTCTTCAAGAAGAACTACAAACCACTGCTCAAGGAAATAAGAGAGGACACAAACAAATGGAAAAACATTCCATCTTCATGGATAAGAAGAATCAATATCTTGAAAATGGCCATACTGCCCAAAGTAATTTATAGATTCAATGCTATTCCCATCAAACTATAATTTTAATTTATAAAAATTTACTGAGACTTGTTTTGTGGCCTATCATATGGTTTGTCTTGGAGAATGTTCCCTGTGCTGATGAGAAGAATGTAATCTTCTGTAAATATTTATTAGGTCTATTTGTTCTAGAGTGTAGTTTATATCTATTGTTTCTTTGTTGACTTTCTGTCTCAGTGATCTCTCTGGTGCTGACAGTGGAATATTGAAGTTCCCCACTATTATTGTGTTGTTGTCTATCTCTTTTCTTAGGTCTAGTGGTAAATGTCTTATGAATCTGGGAACTCCAGTGTTAGCTACATACAAATTTAGGATTGTAATATCTTCCTGTTGGATTGATGCTTTTTTCAATATATAATGACCTTCTTTGTTTTGTTTTTTTTTTTTTTTTTTTTTTTTATTTTTTTTGCTTTAAAGTCTGTTTTATCTAAGAAAAGCTACTCCTGTTTGCTTTGGTTTCCATTTGCATGGAATATCTTTTTTCACCCTTATATCTTGAATTTATATGGGTCCTTATGTGTTAAGTGAGTCTCTTGAAGATAGTAGATACTCGGTTTGTGATTTTGTATCCATTCTGCCAATCTGTATCTTTTAAGTGGAGCATTTAGGCCCATTTATGTTGAACATTAATATCAAGATGTGAAGTACTGTTTCAGTCATCATGTTAATTGTTACCTACACACTCTGTTTTCTTCATTGTGTTATTTATAGACCTTGTGAATTTTATGCTTTCAAGAGTTTGTATTTTGGTGCATATCAATCTTTTGTTTCAAGATTTAGAACTCGTTTTGGCATTTCTTATAAAGCTGGTCTGGTAGTGACAAATTCTCTCAGCATTTGTTTGTCTAAACATGACTTTATTTCTCCTTCATTCATAAAACTTAGTTTTGCCAGACACAAAATTCTTGGCTGAGAGTTATTTATTTTGTTTAAGGAGACTAAAGATAAGACTCCAATCCCTTCTAGCTTGTAAAGTTTCTGCTGAGGAAGTATATATTTTTCATCCTTGCAAATAGTAAAGATTTCCCTGACTATTATTACATCAATAGGTTTCAGGTGCAGGGAAGATGCTGGCTAGAACTGAGAAGCCATGCTCAGTTAAGGCCATTTTGGCAAGCTTAGACAAAATCTTGAAGCACATATTTGTTGGGAGCAACAATTTATAAACTCCAAAAATTACCTGTACCTATCAAAAGAAAACTTTGGAGGTCTGAATGTCAAGTTTTCCTATAAGTCATTGGTAGTAAACACTCAGAAAATGACAGAGAGTATGTTTCATCCAGCCTAGGGAGGCAGTGGGGTGGGGAACCAGGAAGAAGAGGCCAGGGAGGAGAAGGCCAAGCAGGCAGATATGACTTTCCTTCCAGGCCAAACCCCAAGATTGAGGGATGCTGGGAACAAGCAGAAAAATTAGAGGGATTTCCAAAGCAGTGAGCCTCGTGTCCTAATTCATGTTTGGCAGCTGGGACAAGATTCCTTCCCAGGCTGGCTCCCATAAAGGCACAGAATCCAAGAGAATCCCCACTGACTGGCACATCTCAGGCCCTTTGCAAATAATTTTGAGTAAAAGAACAAAGAAAAAGGGGTCAGGTGCAGTGGCTCACACCTGTATCCCAGAACTTTGGGAGGCTAGGGCAAGAGGATCACTTGAGGCCAGGATTTCAAGACCAGCCTGGGCAACATAGCAAGACCTGGTCTCTACAAAAAATTTACAAAATAAATTAAAAAAAAATAAGAAGGGAAAAAGTAAGGAACAGGGAAAGGGAAGAGGGAGAGAATACAGTGGAGAAAAAGAAAAGTGGGATGAAGCAGAGTAACCAGAAAAATGAAGCTTTTTTGTTTCTTATTCTGCAAGTAATGCAGTTTGTGCACTGGAATAGAAACATGCATGTAGACATGCAAGCAAGCATGGGTTGGCTGAGGTAGTTCTGAACACTCTATGACTCCAAATCTAATCCCAGTTTGGAACTGAAAGTCTGAATCTTGCTTGGGGATTTAGGTTTCTTGTACCTATTCTTCTGACAGGAAGAATTTCTAGGCTCTGACCCTAGACAGGAAACAATCCTAATCTCAAAATTGTCTGATGTCTCGTGTCCACCTCAACCCCATTCCCTCCCTATAATAAGAGAAAAGAAGGCTAGGTATAAACCAGGTTGGTGTTAGGTTCTCTCTTCCTTTGTGGGGGAGTCTACTGATGGGGTGGCCTAGGGGACAAGGTTGGGGCTGGCTGTGCTCCAGGCACAACTGAGTGGCCATGTGGCTGGAGAGAAGGTCATGCCAGCTGGTCAGGTGAAGGCCTTGATAAACACCAAGAGAGTAGCCACTTCACTTTTCTTGCTTACCTCTTGGGAGTTTTTTTTTCTGTTTTCTTTTTGAACTTGACTGGCCATATTCTTTTCTCCTTTCTTCTAAAAAAGAAGAAAGTCCCACATCTTTTATGGCTACAAATATTGATCTACAAACCTGCAATGTCAATACTTCTCTAAGTAATTTTTTTCCTGTTTTCCCATCACTTTGAGAATGCAAGAAAACCATGTGACCTATGTGAAAAAAGTACTCCATTTTACCTGGAAATTGAATTTGGGGATTGAATGAAGATGGATCAGAAATATACTAGAGAACTAACATTTAAAATATGTCATTAAAATTTTTTGGGGGGACAGAATCTTGTTCTGTTATGCAGGCCAGAGTACAGTGGCATAATCTCAGCTCACTCCCATCTCCGCTTCCTGGGTTCAAGTGATTCTCACACCTCAGCCTCCTGAAGAGCTGGCATAACAGGTATGTACCCCCAGGCTAATTTTTGTATTTTTAATAGAGACAGGGTTTCACCGTGTTGGCCAGGCTGGTCTTGAACTCCTGGTCTCAAGTGATCCTCCTGCCTCAGCCTCCCAAGGTGCTGGGATTACAGGCATGAGCCACTGTGCTCAGCCAGCAACATAATCCTAATGGTTACAGCACACTGCTTTTAGAAAAGTCCAGGAACTTTTCTATGTTGAAAAAAAGTTAAATCATGATTTTAAAAAGCATAAGGCTTTTTCTGGCTTGGATATCTTTTATGGCCTAGAATGGCGTAATAACAGTAAGGTAACATCGATCCACACCACAGAGACCAAATAGTTTCTTCTTTATGCTTATGCTCTGTCCTGGGAGATTTTCTCAAAGACAGTTTATTTCTGTTATCCACAGGATCTTGGAAGTAATGAGAAAGTAATTTTTGAATAAGCAGTTTTCTATTTTGGGTTATAGTGAATTGACAAAGGTTTGACAGTATTCTTTCTGCCCCTTCCTTTCTATGGAGAATGATGGCTCCTGAAAAGAGTTCCTGGGGACCAGGATGTTAATCCTGTGGCAGCCAGCCCTTACCCAGGCGATCTGGAAAAAACCCACTAATCCTTTCCATGTCTCAATTTCCTCATCTGTTAAATTAGAATAAGTCATTCAATATTCTCCAAGGGTGGTTGTGAGAATAAAATAAAATTATCTATGAGAAAAGTTGAAATACTACTATATAAGCCAGTGCAATATAGGAGAAACTGTTAAAAATGATCATTTAGATTTTAACGTGGTAAAATTTAATCAATTTTCCTGACAATAATTAGATATTTGTTGTTTGAAAATCACATTTGTCATGTGAGAGTTCTGTGATTTTTGTGACAATGACCACATCACCAGCAAACAGAAGAATATCCAGTTGTTTTCTCCCCTCTAAGGATAGTGGTATCGACTTACTCCAGAAATGTGAATAATGGTAGTGATGGTGAGGGGTGAATTAACAGGCACAATTTTACCAGCATGTGCCCACAACTCCACCAGTTACACAAGCCCAGTCATAGTGTTACGTGTGTGTTTGTAATGAGTTTTTCGCTTCTCAATTTTCCCAGAAAGGCCACATGAGAAATACGGAGATTGGAATTCTAGCTTGATCCAGGGGTTGGATCAAGCTGTACTTTGGACAAGCTGTACTTTCAGTACAGTACCAGGAATATACTTAGGACACTCATTCTCAGTAATGTTGATACTGATGCCAAGAGCAGAAAAACTCATTCTTGAGTGTTGAGAAAAATCTTATAAAGTGCAGATATACACACATACATATGGATACATTACATATAAAGGACATACATTTGTAGTAGTAAAATATCATGAGAAGGGTCTTGATTAAGAAAAAAAAATCCAGAAGGGCTTTCTAGCACAGTGATAATGAAAAAGAAGTTAAGAAATATTGCCTTAGTGTAAAACAGCTCTGAATTTAGATTCCTGGTGACTGTACTCTGAGACTAGTGATCTCCAAGTTTTACCTTGTGTGACCCTTGATGGTGTGCTAGGCGTCTTCTGGGACCTCTTTCCTTCATTCATTTTTGAAGTGTCATCAGTGATCTCTGGAAAACAAAAGATCTTAGTAAATGCCCCTTGGGAAGCTCTATGGAGAATCTCCCAGAGACCCAGGAAGGCCCTTGCACACTTTGAAGTTGAGTGTCCTGGAGGCTCCAGGTCTTACCCTCCTAAGAATGTATCTACCAAGAGATTTGGTGCCGCTCATGACACTGTGCCTGTCTGCCACTCGGGGGAGGAGCAGACCACAGTTGGTTAGCAGTGATTACTCTACCAATGAAGACGTCCACAATGGGGTAGAGCTATCTGAACCCTTTGGCCAGAGTCTCTCAAAGTAAGGTCTGTGAGACCCTAGAGGGTCCCTCAAACCTTTTCAGAAAATTTGCAAGGTCAGAATTGTTTTCATAATAAGATGTTCTCCGCCTTTTTCACTATTTCAACCTTTGTACAGATTGAGCAAGAGCAATGGCAGATAAAACTGCTGGTGCCTTAGGACACATCAAAGCAGTGTCCCCAAACCTCAGCAGGAATCACTGCATCCTTCATTGCCACCTGCTCACTGTACCAAAAAATAAAAATAAAAGCAAGATTCACTTGAGAATGTTCGTGGTAAGCCAGTAAAAATTATTAATTTTATTAAATTTCTACCCTTGAGTACATATCTTACATCTTAATATTCTATGTGAAAACCTGAAGAGCACATATAAAGCATTTCTATTGCATCCTGAAGTACCACAGTGGCCTCAAGAAAACACTTGTGTGATTGAGTTACAAGCTCATTGTATAATTCCAAATGTACATTTTCCAAATGGCTGTACTATTACGAAATTTTGCATTAGTAGAAGGTCCATTCAAAATGCAAGATGGATTAATGTATTTTATGGTAACAGAGTATGAAGTTAATTGATATGGTTCAAATTTTACATTACAACTAATGTTTAAGAAACTACCACTTGTTGAGTGTTGGTGTAGTATTAAAGATGAATATCCACAGATATCTCAAAGACTATTAAATTACTTCACCCTTTTAAACTAGATATCTGTGTGAGGCCAGATTTTCTTTCTATCCTTCAATCAAGGCAACATATTACAAATGAATGCAGAAACAGTTATAGGGATCCAGCTGTCTTTTTATAAAGCTCACTCACAATCAAAGATATTTGCACAAACATAAAATGATGTCACTCTTTTCACTAATTTTTTTTGGTTTTAGAAAATATATTTATTTTTCATAAAATAACATTATTTATGTTAACAGGTAATTGGTTTATTATTGTTACTTTTACATTAATATTTTAAAATTATTAGTTTTAATTTCTAATAAGGTACACGTAGATAGATACAAACAACATGAACAGAAGCTCTTTAGGGTCCTCAATAATTTTTGAGAGCATAAAGGAGTCCTGAGACCAAAAAATTTGACAGCTGCTGCCCCAGGCCACAGCTGTCCCTGTGAACATGTCTGTTTCTTCCACAAAAACTTTTCAGATGCAAGAGATGCTTGCTTTCTTTGTCTCTCTTGTCATATCCTATCTTCATTCTCTGTACTTTTTCCTCTTTCTATTGACTTTACATATCTACTTAACCCTGTACCTGCTTCAGGACAGACCCTCCCACACTGAGCCATTCAAATGGCAGATTCCATCATCAGTCTTACCCTCTGATCTGGAGTTTCGGGCACATTCAGCTCTCGCCTTTTGGACCCTTGTCACTACCGTGGAGTTCCAAGTTGAGTGATCTTTCTTTTGAGGAACCTGATCCACCACTTTGAGCTTCTTTTGGATTCCATGTCTAGGTGAGGCTGCATCTGGACCAAATAATGACTTGTTAGTAGTTTAAATTGGGGTCTTCAGTGAGCCTCCTACTGTCCCAATCAGTGACTTCCTTTCTCATGCTCCCAACTCCCACCCTTTCAGATCTCTGTACTCCTGTACTTCACTTTTCTCCTGCTATTTCTCTATAATTATATCCTTCCTCTTCTTCTTCTTCTTTTTTTTTTTTTTGAGTCTCACTCTGTCACTCAGGCTGGAGTGCAGTGGCGCGATCTTGGCTCACAGCATGCTCCGCCTCCCAGGTTCATGCCATTCTCCTGCCTCAGCCTCCCAGTAGGCTGGGAAGCGTAAATGTGCCGCACTAACCACTGATTGGCTAATTTTTTGGTGTTTTTAGTAAAGAGATGCGGGTTTCACCGTGTTAAGCCGAGGATGGTCCCTCAACTCCTGAGCTCGTGATTCGCCCACCTTGGCCCCCAAAATTTGGGATTACAGGCATGGAGCCACGCGCCCATCGGCCTATAATCGCTTTACTTCTTACCATGTACTTTCTTTTGTTTCCCCAAATTAACCCATCTGCTTCCTCCTGGTAGCCTGTTGCAATCAACTAGATAAATCCCGGAAATCCTAGAGCTTATTTCCTGCTGTTCGTTGTGCTCTACCTACACCACAAGGTGGCCACACAGTCTGGTCTAGGTGGAGAGGAAGTATCTTACAAAGTACCTTCTCCAGGTCCCCAGGGCCCATAGTAGGATACAAGGAGATTTCCCAAAAGTTTCCCTAGTGCCTTCAGTGGGCAAAGTGCAAGGTATTAAAAACCTGGGAGCGCAAACGGACCCTGCCCAGAAACGCGGCTACCACTGGGCAGAGAATGGCAATAGGTGACAGGCTGAGACCCAGAGGAGGTGCACATGCACGAGATCAGAGGTGAGGTTCTGCTTCATCTGTGCCGAAAGAGCAACTACAAAATTTCTCACTGGCTGCTGGACTTCAGAAGAGCGGATCCCCACAGGATACCACTGTCCTGCTTGAAACCAAGGAACGTTTCCTTCTGCAGGTTAGAAAAGGACACAGACTGTGCCAGCCACCCCTCCCACAGATGCAAGGTAACGGATACCCGCAGGCCACTTCCGGAGAGAAAAGGCATGGGTAGGGAAAACCCTTAAAGACGAGGCGGAACCGAAGCCCAGTGGGACGCAGGGCGGCGGGAGTTCAAAACACGGAAATTAACTGAAGAATTTATTCAGAAGGGTGGGGCCAGCCTGATAGAGGCCTAAAACTTGCCCTTTCCATTGGTACAAGTTTAGGTTTTTTCTCTGCATAATTAAAGGAGTGTCTTCAGAGTGAGAACACTTACACGAAAAGTACGAGGTGTTGTATGTATTTATTTTCAGCACTACTATGTATTTTTTTCCTCTTACAATTTGAAAATCTTTTATGTGTGTTTTTTTTTTTTTTTTTTTTTTGAAGACGGAGTCTCGCTCTGTCCGCCCGGCTGGATGTGCAGTGGCCCGGATCTCAGCTCAGCCTGCCAAGCTCGGCCGCGCGGTATCAAACCGCCATTTTCGGCCCTCAGCCTCAACAACAAAATCGAGTAGCGGGACTACACCGGCACCCGCCACCGGCTCCGCCCCGCTAAGTTGTTTTTTGTACATTTCTTATTACGAAGATCCGGGTTTCACCCGTGTTAGACCAGGATGGTCTCGATCTCCCTGACCTCGTGAGTCCGCCCCGTCTCGGCCTCCCAAAGTGCTGGGATTACAGGCTTGAGCCACCGCGCCCGGCCTTATTTTTTAAAAAATAAAGCTGATTAATTAAATGTAAAATAATATGACTCTTAAAAATATCTCTGTTGGGCTGCGGGCAGGGAGGAATGGAGAGTTGTTTAATGGGTACAGGTTTTAGTTTTACAAGATAAAAGAGTCCTGGAGATGGATGGTGGCGATGGTTGCACAACATTGCGAATGTATTTTAATACCATTGAACTATGCACCTAAAAATGGTTGAGATGATAAATTTTATGTCATACGTATTTTACCCTAATAAAATATTGGAAAATTGGAAAAAAGAAAATTTAAAGCACATCATCTGTCACATTTAAAATAAAATGGTTCCTTTAAAAAACCTGAAAAAATTCATTTAAATACCGTATGAAGAAAGGCAAATCTGGAAGAGGCTGGCATCTCTTTGGTAGCTTGGCAGAGAGGTGTCAAAAGGTCAGAGTTACCTCAACAGAACTGACCATCTGACACCATCCCCCGACTCCAGAGATTTCCCCTCTCTAACAAAGTCACTTCTCTGACCAGGGAGTGTTCATAATTGTATGGTTGCATAGACATTCCCTATCTCCCTAATCCTATAATGTGTAGAGCATTGTGGCAGTGGGCATCTTAGTACTGGGCTGTTGGCCATGGGGTGTGCAGACTACCCATGTCTGCCCTAAATGTGGGATAATAAGAATTTGGAGAATTGTATTGGAAATTTCCCTCCAATAACCTTTAGTTTGTGTCTACACCACGTGGTGCCCATAGTGTCTATGACCCCTTTTCGTAACACAATAATAAATTCATAAACTATCCTTTGTCAGATCATTACTCAAATTTTGGGTTACAGAAAATATGGTTTCTTTCATTTGTTTTTCATTTAAAAAATAATAGCTCATTTGTGCCAGGACATTACCATCTAGCCTAGAAGAGACACATTATATAAGTAATTACAACAGAGTATTTGGAATCTTCCAAAAGAGCCAGTGCTGGGTACCGTAGAAACTGTGGGATCAGCTTGGCTAATTTAGGGGTCAGAGTATGCATTCCTAAGATAGACATAAGCCAACACCACTGATGAAAAGAAGATAACTACACATTTATGGAGAGTAGCGTAGGTTCAGAATATAGCATCCAAAAAGAATAGCACATGCCAAGGATCAAAGGGAAGAGAAATGAAATGGGAGGAAATGAAAGTTCAGAGTGGTTGACTGGAGTTTTAAGTGGAAAGAGATATATTAATATTTGGAGGGTAAGGCATGGGTTAGACTGGAGAGAGCTTTAACAATCACATTAAGTGAACACTACCCTAAGGGCAATAGGAGACCATGGACAAGATTTAAGCATGGAAATAAACTAATCAGATTTTAATGTAGAAAAAAAGAGGGTGAACCAACAGATCTTGTCAATATGCTAATAGAGTTCAGTTAGTCATGGATGACTAAGGTTTTTGCTTGGCGCCTGGGTAGATCAGGTTCCTCATTTCAAGTTAAATAAACTACAAAAGGCTCCCAAGGGCCTGTGAAACCCTACATAATCTGATTCTTGTCTACTTTTTCACTTTCTACCCCCTTCTTTCTTCATCATTGCCAACAACACTGGTCGTTCCTCTCTGCCTCAGGTTCTTTGCACTTTTGAGTCCCTCTGCCTGGACTATCCAATCCAAAGTGACTCCCACCCCAAACTGCAAGTCACTATTGTAACCCTATCCATTATTTTCTTCCATCCTGCATCACTACTTGAAATTATCTTGTTTATGTGCTTTCTAGTTTACATTCTTTCTCTCCCCCAGCCAGGATGTATAAGCTCCATGAGCTTTCCCCTTTCTTTTTTGCTCACTTTCTTGCTTTCTCTCTTTAAAATAAAAACTGTCTTCAGCTTTCAGAATGGGTATATACAGTTAGTGCTCACTGCATATTTGTTGAATAAATGCCTGAATGGTACTTAGAAGACTAGGTTTTTGGTGAAGAAGATGAATTTAATTTCAGGTATATTGAGACTGTAGGGTCAATGGGAGACTTGCAAACAAAGATGCCCAGTGTGCAGCTGGCTATGTGTTTCTTGAAGACAAACCTGAGTTGAAGATGTAGACTTGGGAGCCGTCAGTGTAAAGGTGGTAATTGAAGTTGTGAGAGTGTTTGAAAAAGCTCAGGAGTGTGAGTTGAATAACCTGATCAGTTTACACTAAACCAAGGAGGCCCATAGAGAACACACACAACATGGTGAGAGGCCATTGACTAATAAGTAGAATGGGGGAGAAAGCAGTTTGTTTCTCCTTCCTGCCCAGGAAGGTCACTTACTTTTCATAGAATGGAATCATTTCTGTAAAGTATCTTAAAAGGACACCAGCCCTGTGATTTTGGACACTGGGATCATACTAAGGGTAAACTAAGTCAGGGAAAAGGAGCTTTAAGCCACTGGCTTAGGTTGCCATCTATTGCTTTTTTTCCCTTTATAGCTAGAGTTGTCTACATATGTTATCGCCTCCCATTCATTATCCTCCCCAGACAACTGGCTCCTGCCTCCATCACCAAAATTTTTCTTAAATTTTCCAGTGATTCTTTCTGACCAAACTCAAGGCCCTGTTCTCTGAATTTATCTTAGTCTTTCAGTATAGTCAACCATTCCCTCTTGGCTTGCTAATATGTTCTTTCTTGGTGCTCCTGTCTTGACTGGTGTCATTCCCTCAGTCTGCCTTGCTAGATTCCTCTTCCACTGGGATTTCTGAGAGCAGGGCTAGGTCTGTGGTTCTCTTTTCTTCTCCCATAGATCAGAATACCTTTATTTTACTGATAACTCATATTTATATTTATATATATATCTGGTCCAGATATATATATATGTGGATGCAGATGATATATATCTGCAGATGATATATATATATACACACACACACACACACACTCATATATATATATGGACCAGACTTTTTCCATGAGTGCCAAATTGCCGTATTTGTGGAGAATATAACTTCCTGATTTCTCAGTGTTCCTGTAAAAAGCCCTAGCCCTCAAGACATAGAAATGTATACAATATAAATATAGGAAATACTTGCTTTCACTTCCCCAGAAACATTGTACTCTTCACATACCACGAGAATTAGAGCTATAGCTCTTTTTCTAGTTAATTGCTCTGATCTAAAGGGATAATAAAACTTCTCTTATCTCCTGAGATGTCCAGATGGGTTTACCCAGGACTAGCTTCCTAGGTTAAATCCTAAAGTACCAGGAAAACTGGAGTGGTCTTTCCCTAGGTATCTGTATATCACAAGGAATAAAGCCCAGAACTTGGAGACATCTTTAGGTCATAAAAGTCAGCAACACCTGGAGTTTCTCTGGCCTTTGCAAAGATGCATTTAAATTCCAAAGGTTAGGATGGGGACCTTGGGAATCAGGATCTTTTCCATTTTATCTCAAAGCAGCAAAGTTTTTTCTTCTCCTTTCAGGAGGAGAGGATGATGGCTGTCCCTCTCATGTATCTACACAGAAAATCCATCATTTCTACATCCCTTATATATGAGTTATAGTCTATTTTGAATAGAAAGATTCCATTAGCTCTCTTAGCATTGCCTTTTGGTTTGTGTATGGGAGACAGACACTGCAGTGTTGCTCTGGCTGATGAGCTGGTTGTGAATATCAGTAAAGAATTGTTTTCCCTGGCCCAAATACCTTGTGTTCCTGCAGCACTCGTATATATATATGTATATAAGGACATACCAATGCAAGTGGAGTGACATCTCAGACCCTTTACAGTTCTTGACAAAACACACATCTATGCACAGCTGCGTAGATGGCCAGCAGAAACCTCTAAAGGAACAGGTCAAAAATTGAACTCTAAAAGTTTTCCCCCCAATATATTTACATCTTCCTTCAGCAATGGGAATTAGCACTTACTCATTTAAGCCAGAAATTGAAGAATGGGCCTTGATTTTTCTCTCTTTCTCATCTGTAGCTAATATGTCAAATCCTGTCAACAATACCTGCAAAACTGATCTTGAATTGGCACTCTTCTCTGCATCTCCACTGTCAGATCTGAATCCAAGCCACTAAGAACTCTCATGGCATCTGCCCCAAAATGGCTGTCCTGTCTCCATTCTTTCCCAGCTCCAACTCATTCTTTACACTGTAGCAAAATTGAGCTTGGATTGTGTCACTTCACTGACTAAATCTCTTCAATGGCTTCCCATTGCATTTAGAATAAAATTCAATCCTCCACAGCTTGACCTATAAGTCCTGCATGAGCTGTTTCCAGCCTCCAGCTTTCTCTTGTACTCTCATCTTACCTCTTGGGAGGCTTTTTTTCTTATGTCTCCTTTTTGGAGTTGACCAGACACATCTTTTTCTTTTCTTTCCTAAAAAGAAAGGATAATGTTTTCTAGTTACAAACATTGATCTCCCAATCTTATATGTCAGTGATATTCAGCTTTTACTTTTGGCCTTCAAACCACATTGCTAGGAGGTCACTGGTGACCTTAGGCGATGCTACTTCAGGGAATAATAGGGGAAGATGGACTCTCAAATGACAGAGGAAAAGGAGAAACGAAGAAATGGAGACAGGGAGTTTAGGTAACTCACTTCTAGAAGTTTGGTTGTGAAATGAAGGAGAGAGCTATGGAAGTAGTTGAAGTGAGATGAGAATCAAGATAAAGCATTTTTTAATGAGCTATGATACATGTAATTATTGTCTGAATGCAGATTCTTGTGTGAGAGATACTGCTGTAAGGAATACTTGAGAGAGAAGGGATTATGGATACTACAAGATGAGGTGGAAGGATTGTCTTAGAAGAGAAGGAGGGAACTCAGAGAGGAGGAAGACAGATATAATTAGGGTTTGTAGGGCTAGCAGCACAAATAAGGGGATTGTCATCTGATATCTGCTTATGGTGCAGGAGGGAGAGTCATTGATTGAGCAAAAAGCAGAAGGTGAGGGGGTCAGAGGTTTGAAAAATAGAGCTTGAGGTTTGAAAGGATTATTACAGGAAGTAGCATTGTCACACAGTAAGCAGAGATGATTTGTGCTGGAACCATGAAGACCAGTGAGTGTACTCTGCCCTGCTGTGGAACTCTCTCCAGCACTGCTGGCTTTCAGATGCAGTGTACAGGAGGTCAGATGCAGTGTACAGGAAGTCAGATGCAGTGTACAGGAAGTCAGATGCAGTGTACAGGAAGTAGGTAAGTAGGGTCTTCCAAGACTTGCCAGAGAGTTCCAGGAAAAGGCAGAGAGGAAAGGCGGATTTAAGATAATGGCAATAGATTACTGAAATGATGACTCTTGGACTGTGAATTAGTGTCAATGTTAAAAAGCTGGGCAGCAAAGAAAAGCAGATGATGGCTTGGAAGGAGAAAAGGCCAGTGGACTGGAGATCCAAATGAGGTTGAAGGACAACTTCAGAGGAAACAATAAATAAATAAGAACAGAAAAACATGTTTTTGATTCTTTTTTGTTTGTTTGTTAGAATTGGACTGGGAAAAAGAGTGATCAGAGGTTGAATGATAGCTACAGAAGGAGAAAAGCTCAAGGATAGGTATCAAAAAAGGAATTCTGAAATTAACTGCTGGGAAATTGAGCCAGATTTAAATGATGATAGGGTCTATAGGTTGCCTTTGGGTATGGGAGGCCAAGAATTGGTGGAGGAAAAAGTCATGGAAAATGAGAAGATGAAGGATTTGAGGGGCCAGAGTATTGGATAACAGAGTTGTCTGTTATCCATGTGTACCCTGAAGGCATCTAGGATGATGCCGTGACTTGAAATGACAGAAAAACAGCCTTTGAAAGGATTATTGGGGAAATTATTGGATGATATTGATGATGAGTGAGCAAACATTTTAATTGAATGGTTAAGCCTCAAAGGAGAGGATCAGGGAGGAAGGGGCTGGATGGGGTCAGTAGGCAGCAAAGGATGGACATCTAACCTGCCTCTCACCATGAGGTGTGAGTGATGGATGGCAGAGAATGCCCAGCCATGTCTTAAGAGGAAGTGGGTTCCTCTCTGGGGAACCAACTTTCAGTTAAAGACGGAAGTGCAATTAACACAGAAGTTGTGAATATAGGAGATTGATTTTTTTCAGAAAAGGCAATTCCAATGGCATATTTCAATATCCCCAAATGCCTTCTGGTTTCCTGATAATTTTCATAAAGGCCTTTCTGGAAGATGTAGTGAATGGAAATAGCAGAAACAAACTGTGTGGCATCAGGACTGTGGTCACATGGTGGTGCTCTTGACAAGACACAGAAAAACAGAAAGCAACTCAGAATTCACCCTTCTGACCTCTACAGGAGAAATGCTTTCCTTACCTTTCTTGTTTGAAGGTGTGCTGGACACCTCCTGGGGCTTTTCTGGGTCATTTGGTTCTGGAGAATCATCTCTTATCTCTGACAAAAGAAATATAAGTCACTTCAGAGCTCAGATCCAGTGAAGAGAAAGTGCTGAGGGAAGTCAATGGAAGAACTAGAAAAGTAGAAAGTACATGCAGCCCAGGGCTGGGAATCTGCTAGCCCTAAGAATTCCCTGGATCTGTCTTGATTTTTACTAGCTTGTGGTTATTGTTACCTGTGTGACCATCACAGGGAACTAGGGCATAACTGCCCCACAGCAGAGGCTCAGTCTGATCCTTTTAGAGAGATTATCTTATGGATGGAAGAGAAGTGAATGAAGAGGGTACAATGAATGGAAATTGCAGAAATAAACTGTGCTGGGTATTATGACTCTAGTCACATAGTTGCTGCTCCCAGCAGCCCTTGCTCAAGGAATGAAGCTGAGAGCGGAAAGTGGTGACATTGAAATCTGATGTCCACGATGGAGGGGAATGTCTTTGCTGCATGAAAAATACATCTTATTGCTTTGATGTCTATGTATGGATATTCTTTAACTGCTCTATCTGTGGTTATTTTACTTGAAGAAATAGCAAAGAAGGCTCAGTGCCTTATATATTTCTGTATACAAGGATTGTTTGAAGAAAGCAGGAGCAAGCTTGTGCTTGCTAGCACCTGTTAACAGCAAAGATATATAAAGCTCTGCTAGCTTTTGCTGCACAAAGAAAGACAGAGGATTTGAAGCCATTACAAATAAAGGCCCATCTCACATAAAGCTGTCACCTTTTTCTTTACACACTGCTATGAGATTGGTCTCAAATGCTGGCCTACGTAGGAATAGGTGACTGAGGCAGGTGGCAAACGGTCATTAGACCTTTGGAATAATTTATTACCTTTCAAATTATATTAATAATATCAACTCTTAAACTCCAAATGATATAGAAATGACCAGGGTTGAAAGTGAAGATTCCCCACCATCAGGTTGGGGCTTGGAAGGAGGACCATCCATGTCTGCTGCACCAACACTATTAGGGCCACACAGTGTTTTTATTCATTTGCTTTGCATTGACAGAGCAGTTTTGAGCACTACTTTATTGAAGAGGCTCAGAAGAGTGGCTCCGTCAAACAGTCCAGCCTGACTCAGTTCCCTGTGCTTTCCCCTGGGGTTCCTGCCACAACCCCTTGTGGCAGGTGAATGTTTCCCTTTCAGGCACTTTGTGGTATTTGGAGTCCAAGCCTACAGGTACTGGTGGGGCTCTGTCCATCATCATCTGTGGCCCTATCCAAGTCTACCTTTTCCAGACTTGCCTCCTTTGCCCTCCCCCAGGGACTCTGTATCCATTCAGGGGTCAGATCTCCTGCCTGTTCAAGCTCCCCAGTGCTGAGTGAACTGGAAGCTGGGCCAAGATTGAGAGGCGGGAGGAGAGTCCCCTCCCTAGAAGATCTGAATGGCCTTTCCTCTAGGTAGACACAGAAACAATGGCAAGCTTTCAGGTTGACTAAACCAAGATTACCTGGCATAGAGCCCAACGGAGAGTGGGGCGTCTCTTGGGGATCTACTTTATCTTTTATTTGGGAGATCAGGTCGTCACTGGCCACTGAACGGAGGAAGAAAAAGTTTCAGATCTCAGGAACAGCAAGCAGGGACCAGAATGAGGAGGAAAGAGAATGCTCTATTCCAATAAGTAAAAATGACAGGGTAACTGAGCAACCAAGGCCCGGGGAAGGATGGGATGGAGTGGGAAAGTAAGCAACCATTCACTCTCAATTAGCCACTTGTTCTTCTATTGCTCTTAGCTTCCTGATTATGTTAACCTTTTTGGATGGTAGGTATTAGAGGAGTGGATTAAATATTATTTGGATCGAAGAGGAACCCTCTTCTCAGTACTGGAGAGCTCAGGATCCATGATATCATTTTTGACAATGCCCAATATCATACCATTCTTATATCTAACATAATCAAACTCCATTATGACAATGGTTTGGGGAGGGCAAGTGATACAATTTTAGAAGCTAAATATCAGGTCTAGCAGACCTGTAGACATTTTATCATCTTTTCTAGTAATTTTGATCATTGCTCTTAGAATCCAAACCATATAAAAATGAAGAATGTTGAAACTCAAAGGCCCCGATAATCAGGTGGGGGTGAGGAATCAGCTAAGGGTCACTAGTGTGAGTGTTACACAGGTTACTTGTCAATTCAGAATGGTGTTTTGGTTGTTGGTTTGTTTTGCATTACTGCATTGGTGAATTGGCCCCTTCTGTTTCTTTTCCTTTGTCACGCCCAGCTCCTTTTTCCATAGTTCCCACCCTAGCCTCTTGGTTGGCAGATGCATGTTCTCCCTTCACAGCCACCTTGAGCTAAGCTGTATCAGCCCCAGTCGGTATTACCTGGCACAGTGCTAGCGAGGAGGCTGGGCATCTCTTCTGAGTCGTCTTCCTCATTCATTTTGGATGTTAACTCATCATTGGTCACTGAAGGAGGAAAGGAAATTATTACAGATTACAGGGACTGGATGTCAGGGTGGAGAGTGAATGTTAAAAGTGCCTGGAACAGACAGAGCATCAAGGCACAAAGGCAGTGGGTTGGAATGTCCCAGGTGTGGGAAGCAGGTGTTCTAGACTCTAGGTCTTACCCACTCCCCGGCAGTGCTCATAGTCCCTCTTGAAAAGGGTCGTGTATGGGTAGGTGGGTGCAAGAGAAGAACTAGGACAATAAAAGTCAAGACGCTGGGATTGGAGGCAACATTGCACAGGCACCTTAGGCTGAGGATATACGGGTGTTGGATGGGATCTGCTTCTCACCTGGAGTGCTTCTTCCTTCCTGGATGAGTCCAGGGAGAGGCAGGACAGGGTCAGATGGGCTGGGCAACTCACTCAGGATCTCATCGCTTTGCTGCGAGGATGTTCCAGGCTCACTGACTCTTGGTGCACAGGGTGAAGAGCTTGGTTGAGGGGGTTGTGGTGAGGGCAGCGCCAGTGGGGTACGGAGGGAGCTTCCTTCTGCTAGGTCAGTTGGGGCTTCAAGTAGGACTGGTGTGTCTCTGCTCTGCTGTTCATAGGAAGCGCCAACTGGGATTGGTGAAGGGACACACATCAGTACCCTGGAGACTCAGAATTACTTGGGGAAGGGGATTTCTCAATTCATGCTTTCCAATCGGATGGGGCCATGGAGTTATTCATTGTCCCCCCGGTGCAGAGAACTGACTCATTGTCATCATTATCCATTTGTGGCCCCTTTCTATTTTATTTATCTGGTTTGGGCATTGAGTGCCACAATAACTGCATCGAAGTCCTGATCTAATACCAAAATGGTTTCACACAGAAAAGTTGAGTTTGGGTTTGTACGCAGCGATTTAATTTTCTTTAATCTTGGTGTCATATGATTTAGTCAATAATGAACATGCTATAGTTTTAAAAGAGGTCTCTGTTTTAATAAATAAACAGATCACACTTCCCCAAAGCAAATAAGAGAAAACAAAAATTCCTCAGCAGGGTGTATGAGGACATTTATATTCTGGTTTCTGCTCATTTCTGCAGAGTCAGCTTCTGCGGCTTCTATTGTACCCTGTGATCTGGTCACACGCAGCTTTCTCTCCCATCCACAACACCCCAGACCCTTGGCTTTCCACATGCTATTCCCTTGCCCGGCTAGTGCGGGGTTTCTCTTAAGATTCTTCTCCATAATTTATTTCAGAAGTAAAATGGTCTCAACCAGTGAATGGAAAAAGGAAAGGAACTTCCAATTTTGGAAAGGGATCCAGAACAAAATCATCAAGTTGAAGATCCTGGAAGATGACTGAAGCTCAGCCAGGTTAGGGGCACATCAGCGTGCGGGTCTCCATGGCTTTCAGGTGTTCTTAGCACAACCTTTAAAGCCACGCCTCTCCTAATGTTGTCCGTATGCTGCCAGGACAGTGGGCCCTACCTGGAGGTGGCCTTGCCCCTTTCACTGTCCCTTTAGCTCAAGAAATCATCTCCCCCTTTAGGGGGAAGCCTTTTGATGGTGAAGTGTCAGAGAGCAAAGGAGGAACTGTCAACAATGGTGATTCCACTAATGAAAATATCACAATCCAATGTGAGCTGGTGGTCCTTTGCTTGTTGTTCTGAGGTAAGTGAACATATGATTTGGCCAGTGTTTTACTTCCAACCTAAAATGACTTTACTGCCTGCTCTCTTTCCCTGGCTGCTTTCTTCCCAGCTCTGCCACGGTTCTTTTTCCTGCTCCTTTATTTATCCAATCTCTTTTCTTTCTCCATGTACTTCATGCTCCATTCTTTCTCAGACCCCCTCTTTCTGTGGCTACATCTGCGGTTCCCTCCCTTTCTCTGTAGCTACTTTTCTTCCCTTCTCTAGCTTTACAATCTGCCTTCCAGCTGTCCCTGTCTGGACTAGTGGTTAAAATCTTGGGCCCTGGTATTGGGAGACCCAAGTAGGACTCTTGCTCTGCTTCTTAATCGACAAGTAATTGTGGGAAAATTACCTCTGGGCTTTAATTTCTCTGTCAGTCAAATGGGGATAAAAATGACTTCAAAGGGTTGTTTTAAAGATGACATGAGATACTCAAACAAAGTGTTTGCGATAATGCACCATAAAAAGACACTTAGCATTATCCATCCTTACTCAGTTTTCTTCCTCCCTGACTCTCCTTGTCCTTCCACTAGACGTGATCTCCGTAACTTTGCATTTCTGTCACTTTATGCATTCCCTATAGATTGTCCAGTATGCCAAAGGCTATGATTTTTTTTCCAAATTCATAGCACACGTAAGAAATGTTTACGTCCTCTAGAAATTCATTTTAGAGAGCTGGAATCAGCTTTAGCAAGGGGCTGCTCCTGCAGCTGTGCCAATGAGAGAATATGATCCATTCCTCCCCAGAGAGAAAGCGGGGGATTAATATGCATATTCCACAGGGCTAGAAGTAAACCCCGACTTTTCCCATAGCAACTTTTTAAATGCAAAAAGGACTTGAGAAATCTCATTACCACGTTTGAAGCTTCTGTAAATCGTCACCAGATTGGGATATTCATGCAGGTTAATTTGACTGAACAATGTCACCAGAAGAGACAGGTTAAAAGTCCTCTCCAGTTGGGTGAGAATGTTGTGCACCACTCTGGATACAGGGACCAAATTTCTACAGGCTTCCAGAGATTCCTTAAAAAATGGAGTGAAGGTTTTTATAAATGACTATAAAATCGAATGGGAAGTTATACATTTATGATTTTCTAAGTTTTAAGAAAGCTACCTTACTTTTTTAAGAAGAAATTTAACACAAAATATATAGTCATAGTCACATTCTCTAAGGTAGAGCGGTCACAATTTTACCATGCTTATTTTTGAAACTTTACACATATTTGGATGACTATCAACAAAAATAAATAATTTAGCTTTCTTAAGGTAAGTCTATATTCTGAATCCAACTTTCAGGCACATTTGAGACGAGAGAGAAATTTGAAGGAAGGAAAGTGGAGTTAAAGGATGCTACTATGTAATTGACTCTTTAATGCTCTGGGCAGGATACTTCAGCAGTGGTTCTAGTGATGGTCACAGAGGCAATTCTGCTGGTTGCTTGTTAGCCTCTGCCCAGTCTCTCTCTGTGTCTTTCAAACTTGAAATGACCCAAATAGATTCCAGCCACAGAGAAGTCTCCCTGAGAATTTTCCTTGCTGAGAGGATGGACAAAAGGAGAAATATGGCAAGAGAGAACTGATGGCAAATACTTATTGAACATCTACTAGGCTCAGTCAGCAAGTCTTTGGGTACACAGCACTGAATAAGACCAACATAGAGCTGCCTATATTTGGGGGGCAGGGTAGGCACTGTCAGGTGGAGAAGATGGGCATTAATAAACACAGATACCCATTTACAATTGAGAGTAGTGTTATGGAGGGAAATCATAGATTGCTATGGAACTGAATAACTAAGAGGTCTTAATGAGATGAGTGGGCCAAGGAGATATCTCTGAGGAGCGCTCTCTGGGCTGTGATCTGAAGAGGAAGTTGGGGCCAACCAGACTGAGACTAGGGAAGATTGCTGGCACTTCCCCGAGTCTAGGGCTCAATAAATGCTTTTAAAAACCAAAATTGTATAAAAATAGGTCCACTTTGTCCACATAGCATATCTTCCAGTGCCTGCCTGTCTCACATCAGAATGCACTGTGAGCAATATAAGCTGTTATAAATTGGAATGATGCCTGTAGTGAGTTGAATGGTGCCCCTCTCAGCCAAGATATAGCCATCCAGAATCTGTGAATGCGAACTTACTTGGAAAAAGTGTCTTTGCAGGTGTAATTAAGTTAAGGATCTTGAGATAAAATCATCTTTGATTAGGGTGACCCTAAATCCAAGTGTCCTCAGAAGATTAGGTTGAAGACTCAAAAGAGAGGTGATGTAGAGATGAAAACAGATTAGAGTGATGTGTCTACAAGGCAAGGAACACCAAGGATTTCCAGCAGCCACCGGAAGCTAGGAGATAGGCAGGGATCGGATTCTCCTCAGGGCCTCTAGAAGGAATCAACCCTGTCAACACCTTGATTTTGGACTTCTGGCCTCCACAACTGAGAGAATATATTTCTGTTGTTTTAAGTTACCTAGTTTGTAGTCATTGTTACATCAGTGACACCCTAGAAACCAATATAGCCCCTATGACACCCTCTCTCCTAACCACCCCCACCTTCTGTGATAATGAACACACCTGGGCTGGGCCTTCCAAACTCTGGAAGCCCTGGTGGTTTGCGGTTTGAGACCTTAATCATCAGGCATATTTGGTGGGGGCTGGGCTGCCATGGAAGGGTTCAACATGACTCACCATGTACATTGTCTTAGTGATGATGGAGTTGTCTAGGAGGCCTTCAAAGAAGGGAAATGGCTTGTGTATGGCATAGGCGATCCCCAGCTTCTGGTGCATGAAGTGCTGAAAAAGAGCCTCTTCCATGGCTCTTGTCATGGTGAACATCCTATGGAAAGAGGCATGATAAAAAATAGAAGCAAAGGCCGGGCGCGATGGATCATGCCTGTAATCCCAGCACTTTGGGAGGCTGAGGTGGGCGGATCACCTGAGGTCAAGAGATTGAGACCATCCTGGCCAATATGGTGAAGCCTGTCTCTACTAAAAATACAAAAATTAACTGGGAGTGGTGGCGTGGGCCTGTAGTCCCAGCTACTTGGGAGGCTGATGCAGGAGAATCGCTTGAACCCGGGAGGTGGAGGTTGCAGTGAGCCAAGATGGTGCCACTGCACTCTAGCCTGGGTGACAGAGCGAGACTCCATCAAAAACAAACAAACAAACAAAAAAATAGAAGCAAAGACCTTGAGGAATGTGGGGAGCTTCTCTCTGCATTAAATGGGCAGATCTAAAGGTAGGCATTCTGGTCCCAAAGGCATCCTTAGTACCTGCAAAGCAATGTCTGCCTAAAAGGCTCATGGGTATAGGAAACAATGACAATTCCCAGCAACAATGGAGGCTGAGAGTGACTGAAAATATAATGACAGAATCCCAAGGCGCTGCAGGTAAACATAAGGAAGATATTAAAAGTAGCTAATATTTATAGAGTGTTTCCTGTGTGCCAGACTTTGTTCTAAGGGTTTCATACGCAGTAACTTATCTGATCTTCATAAAACCCTTGTGAGATGGCTCCTATGGCTGCACCTGTTTACACTGTTGAGGACACTGAGACATAGAAAGGTTTAATAACTTGCCCCAGGGTTGCACAACTCGAGAGTGAAACAGCTGGGAGCAAATCCCGATTCCAGGCTTAGAGTCCTAACTATGTGTTCCATGGCCACATTGATCTGGGTTAAACGAGATGACCCGGGCTGTAGCTGAAGCCATTAACTAGCAATGCTCATGCAACAGGGACCACCCTAAAATGGGTAGAGTCCGGCTGGAAACCTGATAATATTTAGAAACTTTAATAAACCACTCCCAATCTTCAACACAAATGGGCCAAGCATAAATAAAAGCATGAGGGCTGAGAAAGGCATACTTAGTAAAAGTGACTTAACTGACATGTTCAGTGCCACCATTTCATATCTCAGACGTGTGCCTTTTTCCATGACCATGCAGCATTTATTAAAGATTGGCCATTTATGGACCATGAGGAGATATCAATAAGTTATAATGGAAAGAAAATTTATAAATGACATTCTTGACAAATTGTCAAGTAAAGGAAAAGCACTCACAAAACATTCAATCAACTTGAGGGTTTTTAACAAACAGAACAAACATGGATTCCATTTTTCCAACTTCATTTTGTGTTGAACAGAAAACTAAATTGTAACTAACAACTGTTTCCAGGGATTTAATCCCAGTGGCAGATTAAGCACCATAGTCTCTTTCTCCTCATTCCCCAATTTTTTTAACTTGGCAGAAAAAAGTACTCATGAAAAGAATAATCTGCAATAGCCCTGGAAAACAAGAAAAGATGCCACTGAGAATCTGTGGTCGGGAAGAAGTCTTGGAAGATGGAGAACAGATAGGAGAGAAATCTACTATCCACAATATGCCTAGGGGAAGGAGATAGTGCAAAGATCAGTGCAAAGTCAGAGAAAGTCAGAATAAACATATACTAAGAAGAGGAAGGGGTCTTGGGGGCTCCTTTTAGAACAATTCCTTATACAGCAGCGCTCAGAACAGGAAGTCTGGAGCTTCCTCATTCTTCGTCTGTCATGAGTCCCAAAGATGAAAGGGAGGCACAGAGAGGTTTAGTAAGTCACACAAGGTATTCAGTGGCAAAGCAGAGCTTGTCTGACTCTAAAATCCTGTTTCTCTCTATGCAAGACACTATATCTCATATATGACTGTTCAGATTTTTATTACGTAAAGAGATTTTGCAAACGAATAAGCAAAAGACAAACATCCAACTAGAAAATAAAAAAGCAAAATACATGAACAAAGAGTGATAAAAGAATAAGCCAAATGTGCAATGAATATACGATAAGCATGTTAACTAGCTGGTAGAAAGTGTAAATGAAGGCTAGGCATGGTAGCTCATGCCTGTAATCCCAGCATTTTGGGAGGTCGAGGTGGGAGGATCACCTGAGGTCAGGAGTTCGAGACCAGCCTGGCCAACATGGTGAAACCCTGTCTCTACTAAAAATACAAAAATTAGTTGGGCGTGATGGTGCACACTTGTAGTCCCAGCTACTCAGGAGGCTGAGGCAGAAGGTTGACCCCAGGAGGCAGAGGTTGCAGTGATCTGAGATGGTGCCATTGCACTCCAGCCTGGGCAACAGAGCGAGACTCCGTCTCAAAACAACAACAAACAAACAAAGCGTAAATGAAGACAATTTGATAACATATTTGTCTATCAAATTGGCCAAGATAGAAAATAATAGCAATAGTCTCAGACGCTGTGAGTGGGAAGGTCAACAGGTCCAAATGTTCTGGGGGCTGATTCAGTAATCAGTGTCAAATGCCCTGAAACACGGGCTCCTTTGAATTTCCACTTCTAATAATTTATTTCAAGGAAATAATCATGAGTGTGTTTAGAGAAAATATATAAAAAGTTCACGATACACTAGAGAGGAAATTAAATGTACTCTCATTTTTTCTTTTCCACCAGCTTCCCAAATACCTCTAGTCATTTACACAACGGATAACAGATGAGCCGCCTATTGCCGGCAGCGTAGGATGAGAGCTTAGGTGAGGGTAGAGGGCAAATCTCGGTTCCATTCACAGTAACAGGCTGGACTCTATGGCGAAAAAAAGAGGTGTCAGTGTTCCCTCCATGTGCCCCCTTTAAACAGTCTCCTAATAAGTACCACGTGCTTGAGCTCTGACAGAGCCTCCGAGTTTCAATAGGTGAACTCCACCCTGCAGCTGCTGCCGGAAAGTTAACTGCAGTCGCCTCTGTAGTCGCCAAGGGCGAAGAATAAAGCAGCAAAGACAGAAACTCACCTGGACTTTGAGTTTGTCGTTCCTGTCCCTTTCCAGGAGCTGGGCCAGGGATCACTCCTCGAAGATTGGGAGAGTTACAGGGAGATGGTAGCAGGCAAAACAGGAAGTCCGTGCTTTGACAAACGCAGTAAGGGGCCGGGCTTCAGAGAAAAGAAAAGTGAAAGTTTTCGGAGTTTGCCAAGCAGGAAGCTGAAGGCAGGTCAGTGCCTGCCGCCTCTCTCCACCTCCTCATGGGCGCTTGTGAGGCTCCCGGGACGTCTTGGCAGTTGGGGTTTGGGGGAGGGTGTGCTGCCAGTTGGGATCAGCCCAGAGAGAGGCGTATGGGAGGAGGAGGCATAGGGGTCCAGCCCCAGCGGCAGTGGGAACGGGGAACTCAGCGTCCAACTGCTTCCCTACCCACATCTATTTTCCCATGACTTGTCCTCATTCTGTACATTTTAGGTTGATGAAAATGTTCTCCAATTGGATTGTGGTGATGTTTACATAACTGAATAAATTCACTGGAATTTATCCAGTGTGTTATCAAACTAACAGCACACACAAAAAAGAGAATGTGCCAGAAATGCCTAGAATTTGTCAGGATAAGATTATTACATGAAGAAATTAAAATGCAAGGGAACCTGCACATGAACTGGAATTGTGCAGAGGCAGGCAGACCTCCAGGCAGAAAAATGGCTGAAAGCTGGGCAGGTAGTTGGGAGCCTGGAGTCTGAAGCAGAGCTGGGGCCTGCTGATTCCAGAGCAGCAACTCAAGGGCTGGCAGGGACACCCCTTCTCATGCCCCCTTTAAAGATCCCTAATATACATTGACATGTGGGGCCTATGAAAAATCCTTAACTATTGGCCAGGCACAGTGGCTCATGCCTATAATCCCAGCACTTTAGGAGCCCAAGATGGGAGGATTGCTTGAGCCTAGGAGTTTGAGACCAGCCTGGGCAACATAGTGAGACCCCATCTCTATAAAAAATAAAAAAATAAAAAATTAACTGAGTGTGGTGTCATGTACCTTGTAGTCCTAGTTACTGAGGAGGCTGAGGCTGGAGGCTTGCTTGAGCCCAGGAGTTCAAGGCCACGCAGAGCTATGATTGCATCACTGCACTATAGAAATCGATGTAACTTTGGGCCAGGCATGGTGGCTCACGCCTGTAATCCCAGCACTTTGGGAGGCTGAGGCGGGTGGATCACGAGGTCAGGAGTTTGAGACCATCCTGGCCAACATGGTGAAACCACATCTCTACTAAAAATACAAAAACTAGCTGGATGTGGTGGCGTGAGCCTGTAATCCCAGCTACTTGGGAGGCTGAGGTAGGAGAATCGCTTGAACCCAGGAGGTTGAGGTTGCAGTGAGCTGAGATCGCACCATTGCACTCCAGCCTGAGTGACACAGCAAGACTCCATCTCGGGAACAAAGAAAAGAAATCTATGTAAGTTTGATTAAATCAATAATTCTCAAATGTATAGGACCCCCAAGTTCCCCTACCAGGACACCCACAAACTCCTCAGATACAAGATGGCAGACATGGATCTAAAGTTTAAGAAGCTTTGAAACCAAGACTAACTGCACAAGAGCGAGCCCTTCTATGCAGGAACAAACACAGCATATCCCACCCAAGTATGTACAGAATAGCAGACCAGCTTTGCAGGTAATGGCTGTGGGTGAAACAGAGGCATGGAAGACACAGCCAGGAAAAATGCAATGCTGACAGCTGAGAAGAGGGTGCACTGATGCCTCAGCACGCAGTAACATACGGTGCTGTGATGCAGGGGATGGCGGTGGTAAAGGAATTAAAGAATTAAGGTTATTTTATGCAAATGTCACATGTCACTTACCCTCCACATCACCTGGATAGCCCCTTCATGGGCATCTGAGGAGCCTGGCAGCAAGAACTTCTTCCTTTAGATCTCTTCAGAGATATACCAGGCAAATGCAAAACAAACAAACAAAAGTAAAACAGGAGTGGGAAAATAAAGTCAATGTCAAATCAGGCAAAAATTGTTACATGAAAAAAGACAGCTGTGAATGAGGATGAAAGATGTTTATTCTAAGCCATATATGCTTGGCTGGGCACAGTGACTCAGGCCTGTAGCTTAGCTAGCACTTTGGGAGCCTGAGGCAGGCAGATCACTTGAGGCTAGGAATTCAAGACCAGCCTTGCCAACATGGCAAAATCCCATCTCTACTAAAAACACAAAAAAATTAGCTGGGCGTGGCAGCACATGCCTGTAATACGAGCTACTCAGGAGGCTGAGGCATGAGAATCGCTTGAATTCAGGAGCTGGAGGTTGCAGTGAGCTGAGACTGCACCACAGCAGTCCAGCCTGGGCAACAGAGTCAGACCCCGCCTCAAAAAAAAAAAATGCTCGACAATATGGTAATAATGGGAAAACCTCACCTGTTAATTCACATGCTAGTGATTAAGTACTGAGAATCTATTAAAATTATATACAATTCTTTTTAGCTTCAGTTTATTGAGGTATAAAATTTATTCATTGTAATGTACAGTTTACCAAATGTAAGTACTACACCAGTCAAGATGCAGACCATTTCTAGGCTGGGAGAGTCGCTTGCGCCTATAATCCCTGCATTTTGGGAGGTCGAGGCAGGAGGATCGCTTGAGCCCAGGTGTTTGAGACCAGCCTGGACAACAGAGCAAGTCCTCATCTCTACAAAAATACATTTTTAAAAATTAATTGGGCATGGTGGTACATACCTGTGGTCCCCGCTACCAGGGAGACAGAAGTGGGAGAATTGCTTGAGCCCGGGAGGTCCAGTCTGGTGAGCAGTGAGAGAGTGAGATCCTGTCTCAAAAAAAAAAAAAAAAAAAAAAAAGATACACACCATTTCTGTTACCCTGGAAAGTTCCCTGTGTTCTTTGCAGATAATCCCCTCCTTAAGGCCAGCACCAGGCAACCACTGATCTGCTTTCTTTCACCACAGATTCGTTTTGTGTGTATTAAGGTGTTTTTGTTTGTTTTGTTTTTTTTCAATGAAAGCACATGGAATGCACTTTTGGTGTATGACTTTCTTTTCCTCATCATCATGCTTTTGAGATTCATCCCTGCTGTTATGGGTCAGTAATTTATTCTTCTTTAGCTGGTATGCTGGCCGCCAAGATCTTGCTCATCCTGTCTGATCAGCATGTTGTCACCAGTGTCATCAATCAGTCTGACATTCTTTTTTTTTTTTTTTTGAGACACAGTCACGCTGTGTCATCAGGCTAAAGTGTTGTGGTGTGATCTTGGCTCACTGCAACCTCCACCTCCCAGGTTCAAGCGATTCTCTTGCTTCAGCCTCCCGAGTAGCTGGGACTACAGGTGCACACCACCATATCCGGCTAATTTTTGTATTTTTAGTAGAGACGGGGTTTCACCATGTTGGCCAGGATGGTGTTGATCTCCTGACCTCATGATCTGCCTGCCTCGGCCTCCCAAAGAGCTGGGATTACAGGCATGAGCCACCATGCCCAGCCCAGTCTGACATTCTATGGGATGTTCAGGTGATCCAGATATCATTCAACTATATTATAACAAAGGACAAGTGAGTTAATATAACCTGCCTAGACTGCCTACTTTCTTAACTTAGTCCTCTGGCTTTCCCATACATTCTGTGAGCTACCCAATATAGTTCTAAGAAATTGACTTTTTGCCTGAGTTTTAGCCAGAGTCGGTTTGGATTATTTTTACTCCCAAATCCTCACTGATAAAAATGTTGGGTACCAGAGGTTGAATTATAGGCAAGAGATATTCAAGGAAATATGATCAATCTGGGATTGGTTATCTGACATAATTGGACATAAAAACAGTGAATGTCCCCATTAGCATTCAGAGTCAGGAGTTTGGGAGTCATGAGCAAACATGGGTAAGAGAGAGAGATCCAGACATATGCAAGACCTGGTAGGCACAGTGACCCTGCCTACTGGAAAAGGTGTCCTCATCAGTGTTCTGGAGTCTGTCCTGACCAGATTGGTCTTTGTTCCTTTGGTAGAAAGAAAGCAGAAGTGAGAAAGGGGTAGAAATTTCTTGCACTCTATAATTTGCAAACTTATGTATGCAGATTTCCTTGCATATGTGTAATGAGCCAGAAAAAGTAGCATTCGGGAGCACATCTTTTGGAAAAATACTGCTTTGCCTCTGGCTTTTTAATCCTCACTACTGCTCTGTCACTGGCCCTGGATTCTACCCATACCCTGGCTCTCATCAGCCCCCTGTCTTTGATCCATTTTTCTGCCTGGATTTCTAGTCCTGTGGTTTTATTTTTTATATTTGCCCTTTGCTTCCATTTGTTTATCACTGGACTTTATGCTACTATAGTGTGTTTTTGTAAATTGTTTCAAATCCTTTACAGAATGAGGGCGGGGTATAAATGAAAAATTGTGTGTAAACACAAATATAATACAGCTATCCTCCTGTATCATATTGTCCTTGAGGGTCTAGATAATCTCAGCTCCAAACCATTTCCCCGTCCAATGAGAAGGCTGTCACTTTCCTCAAGATTTCAGTGAAATGCTTGAAGCTCAGTTTTCTCCCAGTCACCCCTGACTGCAGTTGTGAAGTGCCCACGTATTTGAGAAAACTTAGAAATGCACCTCACTTTTCTGCCCAACCTCTGCACTTGCATTTGGTTGGAGGAGTTGAGATAGTTGTCTTTTACTTCTGTCTGCTTTCATGGAGTGCTAAGAGCATCTCCCCTACTTTATAATGCGTGGTATTTCAGTTCTCTCTGGCCCCATGTCCAATCACTGGGCCTAACCCATCCAGCCCAGGCTCACTAAGGTGCATGGCCAGCCCTGGAGCCTGACTGAAGATTTGAAATGCCTGGTCTTCACTTGTCCTTCTCAGCCACCTCAGCAAGGGATAGGGACAAATATGGAGTTTACTTCCTCCTCATGAAGGCATCTTACCTCAAAACAACTTCGACTTGCTTGAGTTGAATGACTTTACAACCCTCTTTCGTTGGCAGGAAAAAGTGACCCCGTCTTCTGTGGCCTCGTGGGGCTGGCTTTGCTCCTCCTCCCTTGACTGAGGGACGTCATGGAGATTGGGTGGAGGGAGGACTGTAGAGTTGGTGCACCTACGTCAGCTGGTTAGGCAATTTCACTTTTCTTTTCCTCTTTGGCTGAGCCCCGAGGGGCAGTTGGCAGCTTTACCTCAGAGCTGCAGGAAGGGACGGGGCAGTGAAAATCTAATCGGGTGTGATCCTAGGCCAAGCTCATGGCCCAGCGGGGCCAGCAGGGGCAGATGGCAAGTGGAGACAGCAATCTCAACTCCAGGTGGGTCATCGTCTCCTTTCCCGTCTGTCCTTCATTTCTGGTAGGGTTCCCATTCATACTTGTTATTTAATGTCTACCCAGCTTCACTCTACATGTATACAATAGAATTAGGTTACAAATAAATAACGAGGCAATCAGATTTTTTAAATTGCAGGGATTGGCTGTTGGATAAACTCAGGGATGCCGTGACTCACATCATCTTCCTATTCTCTTACATCTGCAAATGGCTGGACTGGAGCCATTTGAACATCATGCCCCTTCTGAGGCTTTGCTGTAGGATTGGATAATTCCCCGTGACCTCTGAACCCTCTCATCTTCCCCAGGCCTCCTTTATCCCCACTCCTAAAGACAACTCTGTCTAAAAAAGATCTCTTTAGAAGAATTAAAATCCAAATGCCTGTCTGTTGTCACACCTGCCAGGCTGTGTAGTTGGGGACCAGCTCTGCTCTGAGCCCATCTATGTGGCTTTTAGCCCTAGAGTCAGTTCAGGATCTCTGAATACTTGGTAGGAGGAAGTGAAAGAGATGAGACCCAACAAAAAAGGCAGCAGGTGGAGAGTGAGTACTGCTTTTGCCTTTTTTATTCTTCTGTTCTGGTATGTTTTACATATCTGGTCAGAGAAGCCTGGAAATCATCTTTAAAAAATATAAGACAACGAGACCAGCCTGACCAACATGGAGAAACCCTGTCTCTACTAAAAATACAAAATTATCTGGGTGTGGTGGCACATGCCTGTAATCCCAGCTACTCATGAGGCTGAGGCAGAATAATCGAGCGAACCAGGAAGGCAGGGTGAGCTGAGATCGTGCCATTGCACTCCAGCCTGGGCAAAAAGAGTGAAACTCCATCTCAAAAAACAAAAACAAAAACAAAAAACAAGAACATCAAGACAGTCATTTCTTCTTATCTGTGGATTCTGTATCCATGGATCTAACCAACCATGAATGCAAAATATTTTCTAAAAATTAAAAACATAAATAACAACAATAAAAAGTAATATAAAAGTTTAAAATACAATATAACTATTTGTATAGCATTTACATTGTATTAGGTATTATAAGTCTAGAGATGATTTAAAATATACAGGAGGATGTGCATGGGTTATATGCAAATACTATACCTTTTATATCAGGGACTTGAGCATCCATGGATTTTGATATCCGTGGAGGGTCCTGGAACTGATTCCCCCTGGATACCAAGGGATAACTGTACATTCTTGATAAAAATGAAAACAATGTATGGAATGTAAACGTCTATGGAAACTTGTCTAATTGGGACTCTGTGCCAAGGCTACTTGTGGCACTGGTACAGCCCCAAGAATGCAAAAGCTGTTGGTATCATCAGCAGTAGTGGTGGCACCAGGCTGGTTTTCAGTGCCCAGTGCCACCACTCCCAGACAGGCATCCCAGTCATCTCTTTCACTTGCTCTCTAGCGAAGGGAAGATGAGCCAGTGGAGCTCAAAGTCCAGGCAGCCCATGGTCACCAAGCAGGAAGAAGATGGCACTGAGAGGTGACGATGGGGTAACGCTAACCTCAAAGAATGAGTCAGGAAGTGTTGCCTCTGCTCCTATTTTTGGAAGAAATTGGGAAAAATGATGTCATTTCTTCCTTAAATATCTGGTAGGATTATCTAGTGATACCACTTGGGCCTAGTACTTTCCTTTCTGGAGGGCTATTAAGTATTGATTCAAATTTCTTTAATAGATATAGGCCTATTCAGACAACCTATCTCTTGTGCAAGTTTTGGTTAGTTTGCCTCTTAAAGAATTTGTTCATTTCATCTGTGACCAAATCTGTAGGTGTGGAGTCCATAGTTTTCTTTTATTACCTTTTCATTGTCCGTGGAATTCATAGTGATGACCCTTCTTTCATTCTGATCATTTCTGTCTTCTCTATTTTTTTCTTTGTTAGCCTGGCTAGAAGTTTATTAATTAATTCTTTGAAAAGAATCAGCTTTTGGTTTCATTAAGTTTCTCGAATGTTTTCCTGTTTCAATTTCATTAATTTCCACTTTAATTATTATTATTATTTTTTCTGCTTGCATCAGGCTTAAATGGCTCCTTTTTTTCTCTAGTTTCCTCAGATGAAAGCTTGGATTATTGATTTAGATATTTCTCTTCTATTATATGCATTTAATGCTATACATTTCCTTCTAAGTGCTGCTTTTGTTGCATCCCATTCATTTTAAGAAGTTGTTTTCCTTTTCATTTAGTTTAAAATATTTTTAAATTATTTTGAGACTTCTTATTTGACCCTAGAACTGTGCTGGTTAATCTGGAAATATTTTGGAATTTTCCAGTTATTTTTCTCTTACTGATTTCTAGTTTATGGTCTGAGAACAAACTTTTATGATTTCTATTCTTTTAAATTTGTTAAGGTATGTTTTATGGCTCAAAATGAGGTACATCTTGGCAAATATTCTGTGTGAGCTTAAAAAGTACATGCATTCTGCTATTGTTACATGGATTATCATATAAACGTCAGTTAGATCAAGTCGATTGCTATATCCTTACTGATTTTCTGCTTGTGTGATATGTCAATTAATAAAAAAGAAGTGTTGAAGCCTTCAACAATAGTAGTGAATTTGTCTGTTTCTCTTTATCGTTCTATCAGTTTTTGCCTCATACGTTTTACCATTAGTTTGCTAGTTGCATACACATTAAGGATTGTGTACCTTCTTGAAGAATTGACAATTTTATCATAATGTAATGTCCCTCTTTAATCCCTGATGATTTTCCTTGTTCTGAAGCTGCTTTGTCTGAAATTGATATAGCTACTGTAACTTTTCTTTGATTCGTGTTGGCATGGTGTATCTTGTTCCATCCCTTTATCTTTAACCTATCTTTTAAAATATATTTACAATGACTTTCTCATAGACAACATATAGTTGGGTGTTTTGTGTTTTTATGTACTCTGTTGATCTCTTGTCTTTTAATTGGTGTTTTAGACCATTGGCATTAACGTGGTTATTAATGTAGTTAGATTAATATCTACCACATTTGTGAATGTTGTTTTGTACCTATCGTTTTCATCTTTTCTTCCTTTTTTCCTGCCTTTTCTAGTTTAATTGAGCATTTTATGATTCTATTTTCTCTCCTTTCTTAGCATATCATTATACTTCTTTTAAAATGTTTTTAGTGGTTCCCTGAAGTTTGTAATATATATTTACAGTGAATCATGTCCATTTTAATTACACTCTATCACTTAATGAGTAGAGAATACACCAAGCAACTAAACATCCCAAGTTCTGTCCTCCTGTTCTTTTTAACATTGTGAAATGACTGACAATGTTAAAAAGAACAGGAAGGCTTCTAGTCATTCCACTTATTTATGTCCCGTAACCACTCAATATGTTGTTGATATGATTAATTTGAACAAACAGCTTCATTTTAGGTCAAGTTGGAGTAGGAAAAATGAAAACGTTTTATTATATCTGCGTTTATTTCTTCTCTGATGCTCTTTCTTTCTCTATGTAAATCTGAGTTTCTGGCCCATATCATTTTCCCTTTGCATAAAGAAATTCTTTTACCATTTTCACACGGGGTAGGCTTTCTGACCATGAATTCCCTCAGTTCTTGTTTATTTGAGAAAATCTTGATTTCTACTTTACTTGGAAGGTTAATTGCACAGGATGTAGAAGTCCACATAGGCTTTTTTTTTTTCTTTCATCACTTTAAATATTTCTTTCTACTTTCTTTGCTTGCATGGTTTTTAATGAGAAATCTGATGTAATTTTATCCTTCTTTCGCAGGTAAGGGTTGGTTGGTTTGTTTTTTTTCCCCCACCCCCTGGCTTTTTTCAATATTTTCTCTGTCTTTTGTATACTGCAGTTTGAATATAAAATTGTGATTGCCAAACTAGACTCTTCTTGTCCACTGCCCAGAAAAGCCACACACTGCAAATAGTAGGAGTTGCAGGAGAGAAAGAATTTAATAATCGCAGGGCCAGGCAAGCAGGAGATGTTTCTCAAGTCCATCTCCCCAAGAATTCAGAGAGTAGGCTTTTTTAAGGATAGTTTGGTAGACAGGGGTTGGGGAACAGGGAAATGCTGATTGCTTAGATTGGGAATGAAATCACTGGGGGTTGAAGTGATGTTCCTGTGCTGAGTCATTTTCTGGGTGGGGGTCACAGGACCTAGTTACCAATCCCGTGGTATTGGCTGGTCCATTAGAATGCAAGGTCTGAAAAATACCTCAAACACCAGTCTTAGGCTTTATAATACTGAAGTTATCTATAGGAGCAACTGGAGTGGTTATGACTCTTGTGACCTCCAGCTACATGACTCCTGAACCATAATTCTAATCTTGTAGCCAATTTGTTAGTTTTACAAAAGTGGTTTTGGTCTCAGAGCAAGGAGAGGGTAAGTTTTGGGAAGGGATTGTTCTAATCTTTGTTTTAAAGTTAAACTATAAACTAAATGCTTCTCATTGTTAGCTTGATGTACACCCAGGAGTGAGCAAGGACAGTTTGTGAGGTTAGAAGCAAGATGGGGTCAGTTAATTTAGATTTCTCTCACTGTCATAATTTTTGCAAAGGTGGTTTCAATATGTCTAAATCTAGATCATTGGATATTTATGCCACTTGCTGTTTGATGAGCTTCCTGAATCTGTGGTTTGTTGTTTGTCATTACTTTTGGAAAATTCTTGGCTATCACTACTTGATTATTTCTTCTGCTCTATTTTCTCTTTCTTCTCCTTCTCATATTCCAGTTACATATTTGTCACACTTTATGAAATTATTCCAGCATTCTTGGATATTGTGTTCTGTTTTGTTTTTCCTCTTTTTTTCTCTTTACATTTCAATTTGAGGAGTTCCTTTTGACATATCTTCAATTCACTGATTCTTTCCTTGGCCATGTCCAGGCTACTGATGAACCCATCAAAGGCATTCTTCATTTCTGTTTCATTGTTTTTTATTTCTAGCATTTCATTTTTCATTATGTCTTTGAGTTGTCATCTTTCTGCCCACTTAACCATCTGTTCGTGTGTATTGTCTGCTT